GTTCAAGATGGTAATTTTGATGGTCTTACTTTAATGCAAAAAACTTTACACCTATCACCTTTCTGAGTTTTTGAAAAAATAGATTGTAACTCTTTCTCATTTGTTGTATGACAGTATTAAAAATAACTTAAGGGCACTGCTATGAGCTGCCTTAATATCATGCATGATACATGAATTCATACATATACATGAGTTCTCACAACCACCATTGGATGCATATATTATTCTATTCATTTTAAATATAACTGACCCTCAGACAGTTTAACTTGCTCAGGAGGGGTTTGATCTTTGACCTAGTGCATGGAGGATATGTATTTAGGAAAGGGTCATTTTCAGTACCATCGAGGAAAGAAGAGGTTCAAATACAAATACAACATACAGTGGGTCAAGAAGAAACTGGGAAAGCTTTGAGGGAGACATAAAATATCTTTCCCTGGGTTACTGAACAAAATAAATTAGTCCTCACGTTAGAAGACCTTCCATATTCTCTTCTAGTCCTGGATTCTAGAAGTCTGTATTTGTGCTGTCATGAGTTTTTTAAAAAATTGTCAGGTTTCCACTGGGGAATATCTAAGAGATCCCCAGGGGGAGACAGGGGAAACGTGTTCCTTCACTTGGAGGATACAGCATCTAGTCACCCTCGTGACCTCTTAGCTCTGTGATCCCCGCCGGGCCCCCCGGGGACTCCTCACCACTGTCCATGCATCCGTTTCTGCTGCGCCCAACACATGGAGTGTGGGAAGATGGGAATATTCCCAACATGTAGAAGAGCCTGCTTCCCTCCTCCTTTTCAATGCAAATCCTACACTTAAGGTCAAGTTTCCAAATCCACATCCCACACAAGATCTTCCTGACTAACTGCAACCCATCAGGATCTTACCCGTTCTTTGAACTCTTACATCCCTTCTAGTCTTTGACCCTATTACCTAGCACTTAATTAAATATCATTTTGTATACTTTAATTGCTTTATGCAAAGTGCTTTCCCAGAAAGCTTACGAGATTCTTTTTCTATCTCAAAAATGGGGCACAGAGTAGGTCCTCAATTCAGGCTTATCAGTTAAACACGTAACCATGGGCAAAATCATTGCCATCCCAATCTCCTTATTTAGAGATGATTCCACGGGGGATGATCTGGAGTTGCTGGTGTCAGTAGATACAGCAGAATATTAGAATAACAATAATAATAGCAAACTTAACTTAATTTAGGGTCCATTTCTTTTTTTGAAGATTTTATTGTATTTATTATTTTTAGAGAGATGGGAAAGGAGGGAGAAACAGGAAGAGAAATAACAACTGGTTGCCTCTCACATACCCCCAGCCAGGGACTCAGGCCACAACCTAGGCATGCACCCTGACTAAGAATTGAACTGGCAACCCTCTGGTTCACAGGCCAGTGTTCAATCACTGAGGCATAGCAGCCAGGGCAAGTATCTATTTCTCAAGTTAGAGATCCATGATCCCAACTGTTTCCCATGAGAAAGACGAGGTAGAAGGAACCTGAAGAGATGACAGAATGTTGCACAGCAATGCTCGTGCCAGCATAAGAGGCCGACACTCTAACCTCCTCCTGTGCCACTGGGGTCCCGGGGGCAGCCTTCCCTGCTGCCCCACAGCACGGCCTGGATTCAAGCCCCTGCCTACTGCTCTGTGCCCTTTGATTAGCTCCAGCTCGCCGGGAGGGAACTATGACATTTTAGTGGTGGGTGAGGCTACTCCTCTGTAAAAAGTGTATCTGTTGGGAATGCAGTTTTTAGAAGAAAGACACTATTTAAACAGAAGAACACTATTCCTTTGACAGTCCCACAGAATGGGGCAAATGAATGAAAAAGAGCAAATCAGGTCCAAGCTGGTATCGAGCCCTGGGAGGCTTGGAAGTGCAGCCCCATGTTGTAAGCTGGTCGCCATACCTTGCCATCACCGCTTCTACCACTTCAACAGGAATACGCTGGCTGTAACATAGTCAAGAAATGCTTTCCTTGGAAGATGGAGAATCCCATATACAACGAGGGGCAGGTTTATTGGAGAAGAGATTCTTTTAGAATGACTTTTGGGGCAACACATTCTGAACGGAAAACTTTCGGTGTCAAGTATAAGCAAGTATGAAGAAGGTTTTAGTACTGAGCCAAAATTTCATACAGGGAGCTAACAACTTAGTTTATAGTGTAATCGATATACACGGATAGTTATCTACCTAGAAAATAAGGTAAGAGCCCTGCCTTATTAGTTAATTCAAGAGCCTAAAGTACTAGAGGCAGGGTAAATAAATGACCTATTCACTAGGGTTTATCAAACTAGAAATTACTCCAAACTAGGCAGTTTCTTCAAGGAAGAGACACACGGAGGAAGCGATGTTTAGGTTGTGCCCTTAGTTTGGACTTGCATCTCGGGTCTGCCCAGGGTCGAGCTGCCTCCCAGGAGGAAGGTTCATAAGGCCACCTTTGTTTGGGTTTTCCTCGTTATACTGTATAAACTCCTGAAATAACCTGATATTTTTTCAGGTCACCGAGTGTTGCTTCTCTTAAAATAAGATATTTTGGGGGATATGTATTCACTTTGAAATCTTTCAATCTGTCTTCTCTTTGTCTTCAGGGAGTTTAGCAGTACTCGAAGTGGAAAAGGCCTTGCATTAAAAGAAAGTAGGCTACTTGCTTTCCATTTTGATCATTGTAAAAATAAGAAAATGGGTAATTATTGAGAATGAGCATATTTTTAAGGGAGCTTTGCCACTCTAAAACCAAACCAACCAACCCCCCTTCCTCCTGTGTGAGGAGCCCTGTACTTAACACCGTACGTCTCCGAGCAGGACGGGCGAAGCTTTCCCCCCAAAGGGTTAAAAGCTTAGAACAAGGGAGATTAAACAGTTGCTTTAGGAAGTTTAGGCCTTATACCATCTGCTCTCTCCCCTTCTTCCTTTAACTTCTGCCAGGAATAAAATCTGTTCAGCCGGGGGCACCGTTTCCTCTGAACTCCAACAACGGAACGGTCAGAGGGCAGCGCTAGTGAGGGGTAGGGAGTTAGCAGGGGCCTTAGGGTTTGTTCCCGTAAGTAACCTGTGGGGCCCGAGGAAGCCCTGTGTGCCTCTGTGATGTGGCAAGTGCCGTGGGACAAGCGGGGCAGCTGCACGGTGGCCTCTGCACAGTTCGGTGAGAAAGAGCTGTGTTCAACAGTATGTGCAGAGGGCCTGCGACCTGAGGGAGTCACCAAACTGAGGAGTGGGAATATGTTCATGACAAGGACTTAGAAAATGCCCATCGGTCAGTGCGGCAAAAGAGAAATAAGAGAATTACCGACTGTCCCAGAAAAGCAATCCAGCACTGCAATATCTGATTAATTGGGAGAACTTCTAACTTAAATTTACGAGCGTTAAGTCAGTGTTGACTCTACCAGTATAACGTTTCCACGCTTGCTGGCAGAATCAGTATTTCACCTCATGGTAATTTGTAGACTCTTCAGAGAGGGTTACCATGAAAAGCCAAGTGAAATTCCAGGTTGAGAGACTCAGCATTGGCCTGGATCACAAAACCTAGCTCCTGGAGACCAGCAAATGTGTTACCATGGTGAGGAAATTATTTTGGTTTATTCCAGTTGGAATCTCACAGGGCTTGAGCTCTGTGGGGAAGAATCACATCCTCGCAGCTCTTATAAGAAGAAAACGTTTTTTATTCTTCCAAAGACAAATCCCGGAGATAAGGAAAAGAATCTCCCGTCTGCTGGGGGAGTTTAGCTAGCTGATCCCTTTAACTCAGCCCTGGACCTAGGAGGCAAGCTTTCCTCAGGACCACACCTTTCTAGGTGCTGCGGGAAAAATCGTGACAGTTTTCCCCATCCTTTACAATCCCAGCCCAAATGCTATAAACTAAAACTGCAGACATCAGCCTCTGGTGAGAACAAATGGGGTTGAATCAAGGCCAGCATGCACCCCGAAAGCAGGGCTGCACCAGAGGCGGGGAGTTTGGTTTTGATCAGCATGAGCAGCTCGGGCCTTTCTGGTGTGAAAGCTGAGGACCTGTCCCCTTCTCAATGGACTTTTCTACTCCCAAGAGGCAAAGAGAACGTTCTTTTGAGTTTTCTTTTTCTGCTGCTCTTGAATTATCTTAACACTTTTCAGCTTGGCCATTCAATGGTGCTTCTAATGACTCTGAGTTTAAGGGGTTAAGCTAGTAAGGATTAGATTGGGTTTGAACGAGGTTTTTTAATTAATAAGAAAGCTGCCCTTTTCCACATATTATCAAGGGTGGGCAGTCAGGTTCTGATAGCAGCAGTTACTTTCAAATTGTGTTAACAAGTCCAATGAGGTCCTAGACAAACAGGAAAGAAAAGGATTTTGAGAGTTCATGCTTCTGCAACACTAGGCACCAATAGTGTGAAGACAAGGAAAGTTTTTCTTATTCATAATTCATATTACACCTTCTTTATAGCCACTGTCAGAGCTGAATTGTGTCCTGCCCACTCCACATTCATACGTTGAAGTCATAACCCCTCCCTAGTCCCTCAGAATGTGATGTTACTGGGAAGTAGGGTTGCTGCAGATATAGTTAGCTAAGATGAGGGAATACAGGAGTGGAGTGGCCCCTAATCCAGTGTGACCGGCATCCTTCTAAAAAGGGGAGACGTGGATTGGACACAGACAAGCACACAGGGAGCGCCAGGTGAAGATGAGGGCGGAGATCAGGGTGATGCGGCCACAAGCCGAGGAGCGCGGAGGAGCGCCGAGGACTGCTGGAGCAGCCAGCTGCCAGCAGCCAGCGGGGAGGCCCGGATTCTCCCAGCCGGAGGAACCCACCCTGCCAACACCGGGATTTGGGACTTCTGGCCAGCAGACTCTGAGACAATTAGTTTCTGTTGTTCATGCCGCTCGGGTGGTGGTGCCCTGTCAGGGCAGTGCTAGCACACACACCCACATCCAGAGAAATGGTCGTTCTCAAGACCTACTTATTTTTTAAAGCAGACTCCTTCACCATGGAATCATCCCAAAGAGGACAAAAAGTTTGGTTCTTACCGTCGGTTCTTGGGGAACTGATTTTGGCTTCTTTATGTTGATCTCGATGCCACCATTGTCTTGCTTCAGCTCCACGGGGGACCCGTGCACTCGGGCCACACCTTCGAACCTCTGGGACTTGGTTAAGGAGGGCGCACAGGCCTCCGTGGGACCCCCGCTTTCCTGCTCCTCCTCGTCGCCGTGAGCCGTTTCCCCGTTCACGCTGACTTTCCCATCTACCTGCAAAGACCCGAACGAACAAAAACACGCTATTCCCCAAAGAAAGACCTCAACGAAATAACACATTCAGAATCATCTTAAGACATTATCATTGGATAATCATAGTCCAACATAGAATAACATCTCTTATGTGCTTTGACTGGTTCTAGACGTGAGGACTCTTCTAAAAATGTTATCTTGGAGGGTCTCTTTCAAGGGTGCTCTGCTTCCCCAGCCACTTCACGTTAAATTACACTTCTTGTTCACTTTACCTAGGGTGTGCTTTTATTTTAAAATACTGAAAAGCAAGGAAACTTATGTATAAATACATGCCACATATTTGGGTTCCAGTAATTTTTCATCTAAGTTCTGTTATTCCACAGTTGTGAAGGGTTTTCTTTTCTTCTCCCACTGGTTAGCATATAAACAAGGTAGAACCCACCTCAGACCAGGAATGTCTTACAGGTAATCCTGGGGGAGGAGGAGGGAAATGGGTACTTTTTGGGACACAATCATGAATGGCAGGGAACTTAATGCTTGCTTTGTTACAGCAAATCCCTACTTCTAGCTAATTTTATAATCCCATTTTTTCAAGGAAAGAGGCTGCCAGGCACATTACAATAGTTTTGTACCCGTGTCTAGAGAAGGCAGCGAGAGCAAGCAAGGAGCGGGGAGAGTTCCAATAGGCTGGCTCACTGAGAGGCTCCCAGAAGCCTCCGTGTGGAAGTCTGCGGCAGTAGGTAAGGTAGGTGCGAGAGGAGGCTCTCTGGCTGCACGGCCTCGGAGTGAGTCCTGGCTCTGCAGCTTACTAGCCATGTAATCTTCAACCTCAGCCTCAGGTATGAATATCGGCCAAATTCATAATAACAGTATCTTCTTGACAGTGCTATTATGGTGATTTTATGCATTAATATATGTACAGAGTTTAGAACAGTACCTGACCCATTTTAAGTGTATAAATATTAGTTATTATTGTTACTAATCATGGAAGGCCCGGTATTAGTTATACTTGGTGTACCTAGGCTGGTGGCTTGTAAACTTCTACTGTCTGTCATCCATAAGGAAGAAATTTAAATCACCATTAAGCACACACCAATATAACTGAACCCAGAGTTCTGTAAAACAATATTCACCTTTGTTGTGTGTGATGTACTAGGCATTTTTAAAATTGTATTCTGTTCTACTCATTTTTCTAAAAACGTTGATTGTAAACCCCTAAAGTGATTTCACAACCTAGGAATAGTTAGTAACTCTCAGTTTGAAAAACGCTGCCTTAAACGATTTCATTTGACCTTCCTTTACTTGTAATTCTGTTGTACTGGGAAACTGAGCCTGTAGTCCCTGCGTCCCAACTCCCCTCCCCGCCTGCCCACACACGCTCACCCCTTAGCTTCTGTCCCAGCACTGTCTGGTAACAACTGTTTATTTACAGATTACCCTTGACCACAATGGGTCCACCCACTCAGTGGTGGGGCCGTGAGCAGGCTGAGAGCCATCAAGGCCGGTGATGAGTCAAGGGCTCACTGCTGGTCAAGAGTGAGCACTGGTGTTAAAGGGACCTCTACTGCAGTGGCTCAATCCACCTCTCTGTGAAGGCTCTTCCTGAGGCCTCTGCACCGTCTTGCCACAGCGGTCAGGAACTGGGTTTTCTCGGGGCCTAAGTCTTGCCATAAAGTCATCTACCCTCATTCTTGTAAATGATTATACTGCACTGGGTATGTAAATGAGGGGAAGCCGACTACAGATGATCTGATTGGATGCCTTGGATACCAAGTTAAATAAATGTATTCCCTACTCCTAGCGGAGTCATCCCAACATCAACCCTTCTTTCATGAAATATCACAGGCTGTTCATCACCATGGGTCCCACCAGGTGAAGGAGCGCTGGGCAGTACCTGGGTGAGCTGCTGAGTGTACAGGGCTCATGCATATCTGTGTGTGTGTGTGTGTGTGTGTGTGTGTGTGTGTGAGTCTGCTCGACGACTAGCCCATCCTCTCAGGGAAAAGCCACGTGTGTATTCAGTAAACACTTGCCGAGTGCCTGCGGTGTCCCGGGCACCTATGTCAGGCTCTCAGGATGAAGCTGCGAACGACAAAGGCACAGCCGCCACCCTTCAAGGGACAAACATCTCAATTCAACCCAGATGAGACAGGCTCGACATTTTCCTTTTGTTTTAGCAAAGCCTAAGGCACAGATTTTAAAGATATATTCAGAGTTATTTAGGCAGAAGTCAGGAAATGTGGTTTGGTTCCCTCTGAAATTTAATAGAAAGACACCAGGCATCACATTAGTGCTCAATTAGTTTGCTTAAGCAAACTTTCTTTACAGTTACATGTCCATGGCTGCCAGTGATGAATCCCACCTCTGTCTTCTATTACAGACCCATGTGGTACGCAGGGACAATGGGAACTGATTTGTCTTTGTAGTCAACAGGGCTTAACACAAAGGATGAGTGCCTCCTCATAATGTGAGGGAAAACAGAGGAATCCGAGAAAGTGAAGAAATGTTTGGTTGTCCTAGGTTGGTTCTGAAACATTATTTTTCACATTGGTTGGTAAAAGGACAACCTAGTTTCTTTCCACTTAAAGATACTTCAAAATCTGTTTCATTTGAGGACTAAGAACATCCTGTATTTCCATATGTTCCCTGTATTTTTTTCAATGGTTGCCATATTTTCAGACATCATGTCAATTACTTCCTCAAAGAGAAAGCTGTATACACTTCTATTTGAACAGTGGCAATTAAATTTTTTTAAGAGCTTGCAAATACTTCCAGACAGCTGGAGACACCTAGGGTATTCCTAAATTAGGGTTCATAACCACACATATAGAGACCATGCCATCATATCAGGTTAGAAAATAGACCTTGCTCATGGAAATGACTCAACCATCAATCGCACTGGAGCCCATCAATATGAGCAGCAGGAACTGAGGGGAACCATCTCTCCCTAACCATTTACAAACCAAATCTTGGAAGCACATAAACTTCACAATTGTGAATGTTAATACAGTTTGTTTTGTTTGCATTTTCTTTTTCAGGCAAAAGAAAATAATTGCATTTTCTTGGGGCAAAATGCTCCTTTCCACCAATTCCCTGGAGTTCAGTGTCGGTTTCACTCTTAAGGAACTCATCCTACCTTAAAGGTCTTCAGAACCTCTTGAGAGTTTTTGGGCTGGGAGTAAGGCTTGGGTGTCAGCATAGGCACTGCTTTGGGAGTGACAGTTTTGCTCGGAGACCCACTGCCTGCTGATAGGCTGGTATCCAGGATATTGGTACGAGCGATGGTGGTTTCCACAGTGGCAGTGAATTTGGGTGGAGGCAGTGACTGTTGCCGCAGGTATTTCATGGGGTTGGGGTCGTTTGGGAAGGGGGATACGTTTGGCTCCGTTGAATGGCTTCTTTCCAGGATTTTTGGCATCTCCAAGCGCTCGAGAACAGCCTCGCTGATGGTGAACCTCTCGATGTACTGCTGAAGGATGCCCTCCGCCTCCTCCTGGGACCGTGCATTCTTATACGCCTCATGCAGCTCCCTCTCTCTCCGCTCTCTAAAGCACGGGCATGGGACAGAGAAGCAATACCAAAGTCAACAACAGCCACAAAAATTGCAAAGAAGACCTCGGTAGGAACCAAGGTGGAACTGACGGGACAGCATGGGGAGTATGTGATATTGGTGCCAGGGCCTTTGTGACAACCAACAATTTTTAGAAAAAGCACATCTAGATAATTTTGTACATTAAGCAACAACAACAGAAAGAACCCACTTTTCTTGAACAATTTCTCTGTAGGTTTTGATGCTTTTCCTTCGTTCACTTGTCCCATCCTCTCCAGCCAGTAACTTCTCCATTTTTTTCCTTTCTTCCTCCTTCTTGATTAAGTCTTGAGAAGCACTTCTTCTGCGGCTCTTCCAACGAGCCAGGTCCTGTGGGGTGGATTTGGCGGAGACAGAACACACCCTTTCAGGCTTGCACATAACTCCACTTCTACTCTCCAGAGGTTAGTGAGCGCTGACTATGGGTCAGGCACTGTGCTAGGGCATTCCCTCCCACTCCAATCTGAGCCTGGTGGGAACAGGAATGCCTTAGAGGCAGAGAACCTTGCAGAGCAGGGCAGCACATTTATTTAAATAGGGCAATATGAAAGTTGCAATCATATTCCATGTCAGTCGCCAAATTTTAAAGTATTGCCTCACAGGGGATTGTAAGAAACTTCATTTCTTGCTACATATGACTTCTGCATTGTGAGTGGACTTGTTGATGATACAAGGGTAGGAATCAACCGCAGACCTACACAATGTCCTCGGGGAAGGAAGAAAACGTGGAACAAATTGGCTTTGGGGTCTCTCAGAATCAATGATTCTACACATATTAATTCTCCTGATCCTTACAACAATCTCATCACAAACCCTATGGGCAGTTATAGCATAAGGATGAATGAAGAGTTAGGGTTCTGGAGTCGGGTGGGTGGGACTGCAGCTTGGGAAGTGGTCCTAGCTGTGTCCCATCCGTGCTCTGGCATCACATGCCTGGTTCTCAGCCTCTCTGTACCTCAGTCTCTTCATCTCAAAAATGGGGATGATAATAACACCTACCCTTACAAGCCTTTCGTGAGGGTTAAATGAGATAGTGCATATAAGGTAGTAGGCACATAGTAAGTGCTCAATATACGGTAGACATAATTATTATTACATTTTATCGGCTTTGGAGGAGTTAACTTTTTAAACTAAAGGCAGAGTCAAGTTTACCGCTGCTGCCCCGGAGTGCTCTGTGAGGATTAGATGAACCAAGCCGCTCTCCCTCCTCTCATCCTTGTCTTCAAACCCTTCCCGGACCCTGGCTCTTTGCTCTCAGCACTCAGACAATCTCAGGGCCCTCATCAGACTCTGGAGCCTTCTGTCCCTAGCTCCCTAACTGTGTGATATTGGGCAAGTTCCTTAGCTGCTCTGGGACTCATCTGTGGAACGGAGCACAATAATAATTGCTGGCTCACTGAGTTACTAAAAAGATTAAAGGGAATTATGGCATGCACGGCACTTAGAATAGTACCTGTTACTGGTAAGCTTTCGGTGTCGGCAATTGTCATTGTCGTCATCGTCATGAATTTCAAACACACAATTTCACAAGACAGTGCCTCCTCCGTCCCACATCTCACACCAGCGGCTCCCCGCCCCCCAGTGCCCCCCTGCTGTGTGGCCAACCTTCTACTGGATACTTGCAAATTACTTGTCTGTGTCCCTCACTCCTCACCCTTCAGGCTGCTATCAACCTGCCTTTAATTCCCACATTTACTGTATCACTTTGAAATCCTCTAGGGGCTCCCTTCCCCTGAATGTCTTTCAAGTCCAGGACTGCCCGCCCCACCGGATCTTCTGCTCCAAAAGGCCTGTAACCCACGGTGCTGGGCAGCTTCCCCACTGCCCGTGGCCTTGGCCGGCACTCACATCTTGCCATTTGTCGTCCTCTTCCCGCAGCTGGTTATTTATCAGTTGCAGCTGCTCCTGGCGGGCCCTGCTGTGCGGCTGCACTGCAGCCTCCTCCTCACATCGCATGTCAAACATACTCGTGCTCCTGAGTGTGGAGAGAGTAGAGACAAAAACGGACTGGGATCAGCGCTTGTTGTCTGTGAGTGTTTGGGGCCGTTCTGCCGCGTGGGGGCGCTACCGCGTTCGAAAAAAAAAAACGGTCCCTCCCTCAGCCAGCAGCGTGCACGCCAGCACCCCCACCTCATCTTCTGCTGCAAAAGCCAAAATATGACCATCTTTGTCTTCGATGGTGGATGCACCAGGTCAATATAATTTTGCACACAGGTGCCTAAGTATGTTTAAAGAAGAGCTAGAAAAGGTATGTGACGCTCAGGGTTCCTCTAATTTGGAAATGTATTTGAAAATCAAAAAGAGAATGAAAAGGTTTAAACTTGGGAAGGATTTGTGGAGAAAGAAGGTGGCATTCCATGAAGTGAAACTTTATTACAGTAAATGCTTCTTTGTGTAAAGATCTGGCTTAAATGTTTTCTACATTAACTGAGTCAATCTCTCCATTTCCAAAAAAGATATGTGGCCTTAAGTCTAAGACACCCACCTTTCCATATTGTACTATGTTCTGAATTTTGGATGCATTCTACATTAGTGGATGCATTAGTGAAGCATGTATTTGATATGGTTATTTCTATTTCCTATAAAACTGTTAAGTGCAGTTGATGATATCTTGGAACTAAAAAAATATGGTATGTCATATTAAGATTACAAAATAATATATAAACCCCTATGCATTTTGTATCCTAATATTCTCAGAATCAGTCTACTTTATTTTTGTGAGGATACCTCTGCATTTACTTTTTCAAAAAAAATAGAGAGAAACTAACTTTAAACCCTCAGACTGTATATATAATTGAGATGTTTACTCTGTAGGAGCTCACTAAATGGAGGGTGAGACCGTAGGTTTTTTCCTATGACACTGACACAGACCTTTGTTCCAGCAAAAGCTTAAGCAGCAAGATGAAAACAGAAATAAAAAAAATCAAAGCAAAATCCTCCCCTTCTTTTTTTTTTCTCTCTCTCTCTCTCTCTCTGTCTCTCAAAGAAACGAGGAGTTCTGGGATGAAGTGGGTCATGTGGCCCCCACATCAAGAAATGAAGGGCCCTTTAAGGTTCACTCTGAGGACAGAAGACTGCACTTTTTGGAAGCCAGCTTAACTAACACAAAGAAAAAGAAAAGCCATGCACTCGACACCCACTCATTCCAGACACCATTAGTGATGTCCAAAATAGTTAGTGCCGTGGCGGGACAGTGAACAGTCACAGCATCACTGGGTGCTGGCGGGACCCTCAGCAGGCAGCTCTCTGGAGGGGAGAATGACCCCCGAGGCAGTGGCTGCTCACCGTCACCTCAACACACTCAAAATCAATCTGTAACGGTGTGTGGGTACCTCTCCCCTCTGTAGATGTTGGACAGTTTAAGTCTGACCTGAGAGAGCCAAAGCTGAAGACTGTACTTGTAATCTGTCTTCCCTGAGGGTATTCTAATAATCCAACTGCATGGGAAGAACTTTCATCTGAGGCTTCTCTCAGCTCAGATAGGACAAACCACGGGGCGAAGCCACCTCCACATGGCGGGGGTGGGGTGTGGGTGCCGTGCCTTCCAGACCCACTACAGTCCTCACAAGGCGGGAGGGACTGCAGCTTTTCACTTGTTTTATACTATATTAATGTTTGGGAAAGAGTTAGTAATTTGCAGAGTTAGGTAAGAAAGTCTAACCCATGGTTTTTGAACTTCATGGATCAAAATCCACTTAGGTAGGTTTTCTGGAAGGATACTGAAATTCATCCCATTCCTCCTCTAGAGTTAAAAAAAACAACTTACCTTTAAGTATATTCAATTCAGTCAGTTCATCTTTTAAGGCAAGTCAGTGTTTGCGAAGATCTTAGCAGATAAAAATCTCTCTGAGCTGGGACTCACTTGTAGTCTAGTCAGTAGTCGTTGGCAGATTGTGGGAAAAAGAAGGTCCCTTCCTTCGACTCTGCCATCTACATAATTTCTAAAGGGCAGAATTTTGGTTCAGGCTGCAGTGGGTGGCCATACAGCTAGGTCTTCTCCTGAGACCCCACAAAGAAAATGGCAGCCTTCTCCAAAATTGGGAATTGGTTGTCTCACTCGACAGATGTGAGGACAAGAGCAAGGCCTCGAGACCTGACTTTGTCCCGAGTTCCTACCTCCATCTCATTGGGACGTTCTATCTGCCTCAGCCCATATGTGGCCAAGGGCTAATTAGTGAAACAAAAAGAGAAACTTTTGTTTGTCCTCTCATGTACCGTAAGTACTATTTTTACCAGACTTTTTTTTTAAGAAATACCAGCAAACTGGCCAAAAAGGAAACAACAAAACTCCGAGCAATATCTTTAGGCCATTTAAAATAAAGGAACTAAGCAAGTTGAGAACTGAAAATACTAGACAGAAAATAGGCTGAGTCACCATTTGGAAAACACTCCCTAGCTCAGGGGTTGGACTCAGCCTCCAAAATGAAGAAGTGTGTGCCTAAGGTTGGGGAGGGGGCCCCTGAAGAAGCCCAAGTTCCGGAATATCAGTGCAACTTGCACTAAACCTGTGCTCCTCAACACCACCGACTGGGTCCTTGGGCTGCTGTGCCAGGGACCCTGGCTGCAGAGCCTGGGGATCTTTCTTGGTAGTGGGCTGGCAGTTTTGAGGGCCAGGATTAAACTACCTCAAGGGGAGCCTGGAAATTGTTTCTGGGCCAAGTCCAAGGTGAGGGAGTTAAGAGTGAGATGGCCTCTGGCTCTCACAGGGTGCAGACTCCACCGGCGGGGAGAGTGCTGGGGGAGGAGGAGTGGACGAGTGAGGAAAAGGGCACGAAGGTGAAACTGAATCTGCGGAAACATTCTTGGCTTGCCAGGAGGTGGAAATTTCTGTTTGCCTGTGTGGTAGGTCTGCCCCTGACCTGTGTTTTCCTTAAAGGGCACATCTTTTTTTGATTGGGCTGTATTTTAAGAATGTGTCAATTATGGATAAATAAAGCCTGTGCCAATAACCGCCCTTAAAGATTTTGAAAAAGGGAGATAATGAGGTAATAAACTAAACATAGTATGACGTTCTATTTCAAAAATAAACTCCCAATATAAACTTTTCACTTTGTTCCCCACAAGGATTCATGTAAATTGTGTCTACTCTGAGAAGGAAATGTGGCACTTTTGATATTCCTAGATAACATGTCTGGAAAAAAAAGCTCCTTCTACTCTTCTTATTCCATAAAGCTGTTTTTTTTTTTTGCAAATTTAGAGAAGGAATGGAGGGAGTCCCTTCCCCTGCCCTTTTTAAAAACAATCATTAACTTCTCCTGTGGGTGAGCTTTCATATGCAGGTACAGGCAAAATCCCAAAGCTCATTAATAGAGCTCTTTTATCTCAGGCAAACTGCACGGTGTCACTGTACTGATGAAGAACAAATCCATTCTATCAAAATATTTTTTTAACCAAATGAAAGTCGTGTTTTTGCCTATCAATCTTATGTAATCCTCCTTTCAGTGAATGTTAAACATTGCCACTGCAGATTTTAAAAGTAATAACCGGGGCTCAATTTTATAGACTACTTAACTCCACGCAGCGAGTCAAGCTCAGGCTGACTTCGGTTTTGGTTTTGAGCCGCGAATGCTCTGTACGTCAGGCCACAAAGCCGTCAGCGGTTCGTGCACGGGAACGGATGCCCTGGGTGCCTGAGTGAGGCTGCTCAGAGCTTAGAGTGCACGCTAGGCTGACATCTTGAGCATGAATGTGGAAAAAGCACAATTTGCAAACAATAAATTTTGGCTAACTCTCACTGTCACCAATGGAGATGGCAGTTGTGTGCTCCACAGCATTATTTGGGTTCCTCGTGGTATGATTTGAAACTATGGCTCAGCGCAGGAAGACGGGAGAGAGAACGGTGGTGCTCGCTCTTCTGAGGAGCCCGACTCCCACGAGGCCACAGAACGCTTCTCACAGAGGAAACACATCGGGCTCAGCGGGTGGAATTAGGTCTTAATCATGTTTCTTAACACGCAAATGGCTCCAATCTGAGGAAGCTAGTGTTCTGCTAAGACAACTTTTGCCTTAGATATTCATTTCAGAATGCTCTGTGCACAGAAAATCCATTTTAAAAAATGGAATTAATGTGGTCACAAATGGGAGAGTGTGAATTCTTCTCAAATTTGGAGGTGAGACAGGCATGGGCAAGATTCACAGGTGGTGAATCTTGGAGAGGAGTGGAAACCAAGCAGCAGGGAGAGAATGCCTAAGTCCTGTATTAAATTGTGATGCCTTCTATGCCACAGAACCTGACCAGAATCCCAACATTTTGGTGTTGAGCATCCCACAGTTTATATTAACTCCAACCTGGGAGGACCTTGGGCTTCTGAATCCACAATTAGTGGTTTGGGATTTATTTTCTTAGTTTAAAAAAATGTGGCCATGACAATGGCTGCTTCTTTGTTAACTCCAAGACCTAACATATCAAGAATTAAATGCAAAGGCAGAATCCCGCTTTAATAATTCCATGGTTCAGAAGGGGTACCAACAGTCAAATGGTAACACGAACATTAACATGCCTCGTCTATGAAAAGCAAATGTTAAGTTTTAAGCAGCAGCTGCACATTAGAATCATGCTTCAGTTGCTTTTTCATTCATCTCTCCTGCACAGAACATATGTTCTGCATTCCAACTTCAAGTGCTTTTTTGAAGCTGCACGAGTTGGTTAGCTATTCAGTTCACTGTTGCACCGATTGCATTTCCATTAGTGGTAAGTACTGAAGGCATGCAGTTTAGACTAGTAATTAATGCATTCCTACGAATACAAGACAACTTACTCTGCGTCATCAGACACAGGAGTTCTCGGACCGTATCTACAAGACCAAATACAAAATTAGAGGATTTGCAAGATAAGGTTAACGCTGTCACCAAGCTGAAAAGAAAAACTGCTGGTGAAATGTATGTGTGCACACCTTTTTTCTTTTTGCTGATTGTACTGGAAGAGAAGTGTCATTATACAATTAACAATATTCATTAACTGCTGAAAATGAAAGAAACTTCTTGACAGTTCTAAAGAATGCAAAATGTGTATTAAAATACAAAGGAGAAATGAAAATAATCCCCACGCTACACACACACAAAATAATCTGTTCAATAAAAACACAAAAAGACGTAGGTGCAACACACAATGTTTAGAGAAGTCAGCTTAAAAAAACCAAACCTACATTACGGTTGCTCACAAGCAGTTAAACTGTCCATGCCTTATGTTCAGCCGTAATGGGCTGTAATGGACACCCAACATAGAAGCATGTGCTTACTGGCCCTTCCCCTGATGTGTTAATGTATTTATGACATCAAAGAGCGTTTCTGCAGTTTTCTGAAAGCAAACCAGAACTCTAACCAGATCCCCAATCAGTGCCTTCTGCATGCATTTGACAAAAACCACAATTCCTAGAAAACTGGCAGCCTTAATCCAAACCAGACTTGTGTGATATTCCATCACTTGAAACACCAAAGTTTTTTTTTACAATCTTTTATAGTCTTCTGATTATTTTGATCTACAAAGCTGTACCCTCTGCAATATGGGTTCTTTAAGTTTTAATGTGTCTGATAAAGCAAAGCAAAAGGTCAAGTTGGAAAACAACATCAGAACTTCAGAAGGGCATATTTTAAGCATGTTTTAGAAATGTGGCTCCCTTTCCTCTGCAAAGGGGAATCTTAAGAGAAGGCTCTTCCTCCTAATGCCCTGTGAGGCTGCTTATTTATGCACTCTGATTGTGGATACAGGACTATTTGAGTAAAGAAAAAAAAACATTCTGCTTTCAGTTTCCAATCAATTAAACTGTGGGGTTTTTGACAAAAATTACTTGATCCCATGTTGACTTTCATATCAGTTTACTAGAGGGAAATTAGTAATTTCTAAAGGTCTCTTCCTATAATAGAGAAACCCCTCAGAATACATGGGAATACACACACATATACCCTTCTCTCGTATGTTTTTACCATTCTTGAACAGTCTGCATTCATTGAAAATTATTTTCATTCACAGTGAAGGCAACCACACCAGAGCAAACCAAAAATATATGTTGACACGGCCAAAACCAAGGCAAGGAAAGGGTTTGCGGATGTTTCCCTTCTGCGTAGTGAGACTCTTTTTTTCTGTTTCTCCAGGGGGTAGTTTCAGAAGGTGGTAAAATTTAACCTAATACACCCAACTCTCCAAAACTATCACCATATTGAAGCAGATGGTCAGTGGATTCCTGCATACTGAGAGAATGAATAAACAGCATTAATTCTGAACACTGGGTAAATGTTTCCTGGTTAATTAATAGGCCTATTGGAACAGACTTATTCAAATACTGTGTGTCGTAAATTACCCATGGAGGAGAGCCGAGAACTTATGCCTAATGGATGGTTAATCCAGAAATAAACTGACTGACAGTTATGTGTTTTTTTGTCTCTATTTGAATATTTCTGTTAATGTTTGATTGAAGTGTAACACACATGCAGAAAGTGCACAAACCACACCTACACCTCACTGATTTTCACACACTAAACACACCCGTAGATTAGCATTGAATGTTTTGTACTATGAGAATGACCCAGGCTGTATATACTCTTTTGAGTTTGGCTTCTTTAGAATATTTTGTTTGACGTTCAGCTATATTGTTGCTGTAGAACATTTTTTAATTTAAATCGCCTCTACACAAAATACAACATTTCACAAACATCTCTGCCAGCAAATGCAAGGGGTTTTCTTTTGGGATTCCCTGAAGAGTGACCAGATTGGGCCCTTGGTAAGTGTTTATTGAGTACTTATTGGATGGTCTGGACATTGGAAAGAAAAGAGTAGCATAGTCTCTGAAGATAAGTTTAATGTATTTCTTTACTTGTGGATTTAAGGAATTTCCTCTCTGACTAATTTATCAGCTTTAGGAGGGCATCAATCGCAGCAGGACTGCCTCTGCTGTTAAGCAGAAGATAATTATTAGAGCCTGGGCTTCAAATTGGTTTCTCAGTTGTCCTATGGGAAATCGAAATGTAAAAGTTAAAAAGGAATAAAGAGATGCTTTGCTTTGCTTTTTTAATGCAAAGTGGGTGTGTCAATAGGCTGGGAGGCACAAGATCGGCCAGATGAATCACAGCTTGTATGAGTGTCCTAAAACAAGGCGATTAATAAAGTTTCATTGTGAGAGTAGGGGTATTCAGAAAGATAAATGAAATAGTCTATGCACCTACTGATCGCACTTCAGAATTAATAATTAGCTGGTTATATATTTCCATATTGTGAACTAACACAAGCTTCATGTGAAGTGAGAGGGGAAAATGGGTTTGCTGGTCATTTAAGATTGTCCCCCGGCACCCAGTGCAGTGTGCTTTACAGACAGCAATCGCTCCATAAACACTTGTTGAAAGGGAAATGAATTCCCAAGGTGTGTGCTTGCTCAATCACGTGATGTTGTCACACAGTGACTCTGACTATATATCTCCTTATGCTCAAACTAGCCATCCCTTCCCATTTGAATACAAAGAGGACTCCTTCTGAACACAAGTAGAGGGACAGATAGAAGTGACAGGGAATTCATCAGACTTCCACAGTTTCCTCTAGTAACCTGTGCCGGCAATGCCCCAGAGTGGGACAGCAGCTTTCACCCAGACAGAGCTGGGTTTGAATCCTGGATCTGTAATTAGCAGCTGTGAAGACACTGGCCTCCAGTTCCTAAATGCAGAATGCAGATGAACATTCTCACTTTCAAAGGTTGTGTGAGTAGTAAGTAAACGAGAAAGCACCTAGAATGTAGGCAGCTGTAAGCCTCCCTTCCTTTCATTTCAACTTGCTTTACAGTAGCCCCAGGATCCAGGGCCAAGCTATGTCAAGGGCACGTGTGGTGCATCAGTCCTCACCAGCCCTAGCCGTTGGATATCTGAGTGAGATCCACTCACTCCTCTCTGCATCAGGCATCCCATTTGTGAAATGGAGCTGACATCCATTCAACTCCCTGTGAATTCCAAGAAGGTGGGCTAGAGGGAGCAGACACACCTTGAAAAGGCCACTTAGCACTCTCTCTAGCTGTAGAGCACGAATATTACCCATGTTCCCTGAAACCAGTGGCATAGTAAGGCTGTACTAAAGTATTATTAGTATCATTCAGAAGAATGTAAAACAGATTAAATCCAGAAGATCAAGATGGGTAGGATATTATTTTTCAATTTTAGGATTACAGGTTCTTCCTGCCCCCCACTCCACCCTCTGTCCCACTACCATCAAGCAAGCCCCCTTTATGAAGCAGAACTCCATCACTTCCTGTTTCAGAGCAGAACTTACAATCATGCTAAACACTTGCCCTACACTGACCAGGCAGTCCACAAATGTACCACTCCTACTAAATAGCGACAGAAGTTTTATCATTTCCCTACTCTTCATTTTAAACAGTATTTAATTAATTAATTAATTAATTAATTAATTAATTTTCAGAAAGAGTGCAAGGGAGGGAGCTAAAGATCCATGTGAGACAGAAACATTGCCTGGCTGCCTCCTGTACGCACCCTTACCGAGGATTGAACCCACAACCAAGCATGTGTTCCTAACTGGTAATCAAAACAGTGACCTTTTGGTTGGTGGGATGGCACCCAGGCCCCTGAGCCACACCTGCCACAGCTCCCTACTCTTCGTTTTATATCAAGTCATCGCACAGAACACAACTCCCACATCTAGAAAACACCAAGTATTTCCTAATGTTGAAACTAAATTAAGTTACAAATTTTATAAGTGGTATACATCTTCTTTGGACTGGAAGAACCTCCTAGAATCAGAGTGAAATCAAGTAGATCAGAAAGAAGTTCAATCCCTTTACCCAGAAGCTCCTATGTCAGCGAGGAAGAAACAAAGGTGCTTCTCATTTAGGGGGCCCATGGATGAGAATGCTTGACAGAAAAATTCATAACTGAACTATTCTTTCCACACTTGCTTCCATGCAAAAAAAGAAAAAAAAAAGAAAGACACATTCTTGGCAGACTGAGCCACTTTTTAACACTCTGTTTCTGTAAGCAATAGTGGGTAAGTGGCATTGATGTGCCATAATGCATTAATAACATATTCAAAGCATATATCAAGGCTCAGAATGGAGAAACAAAGTCACAAGAAACAGGCCACAGGATAATCTTCTGACCTCTTATCTTTCATTGGTGGGCCTTTTGCAGATTCCTCCACATTCTGTTGCTTTGCAAATGGAACTGGAAGGAACTGGTTTGGGTTGGATCGAATGTGTCTAAGAGACATCCCAGTTCTCCTGGCCATCATGTCATCTCTTTGTGAATCATACGACTTTCCTTGGTTTTTCAGTCTGCTGCCACTCCAGGCAGGGGCTGTCATCTTCTCTGAGCTCTCTTCTTTCCCCGAAGCCTCCCGTTCAGAGGCCAGGGGACATGAACTAGGGCAACATTTAGTCCAGCCAATCAAAGTCCACTTATTTCTAAAGATATTTTCAGTAGCGTCACTCACTTGGCGTTAAGACAGAAGGAGCCAATGTCCGCAGAGGCAGCAGCACGCACAGCAACTGAGGACTAATACCATGGGTCTCCATCATGCAACTGATACTCACGTGGGAAGACGTTTCCCTTTCTGGCTTTCACGATTTCTGAGAAGAAAATCTGGCCAGCGCCCAACCACATGCAAATGCTAAAATCTCTACCCAGAGTGGGCGCAGAAAGCGGAACTCTGACCCCAGGATGGGCGCATTCCTTTAAGTGACTTAACTCCACATCGCATCAGTCACTGAGTGCATACTGTGGCTCTAAGCTGCTTTTTGGGGACACAGAAGCCAGCACAGCAGAGGCAGCACACCCTGGAATGCAGGCAAGGCGCTCACAGTGGCTGGCCGCTCTCCTCGGATCCTTCAGCCTGTGGCGGCATCTCAGAAGCTCTTTGAGCACCTCCTTCTTGCTCTTCTTTGCCATCCTGTGGCAGCTGTTCGGATGTAACTAAAGCCGGAGAGGACAGCTTTACTCCTAGGGGAAGAATTCACACCAGAGGCCTCGACCCCACCTGTCATCCTTCACCTCCCAGGGAGGGAGGAAACATTGCTCCTCACCTTCCTCTGTCCCTCTTGGACATGCGCCTACACCACGGACAGGCTCCTCCTGGGACTTCTGCACAGGAGCCTGCTGCGAGACCCTGCTGCAGTTGCCATTTATGCCAGAATTCACTATGCTGTTGATAATCAAGTAGCAATGGTATCAAGAGAGAAAAGGAAATAGAGTTATGAAGGAAGACAGTGGAAATCGTGGAGACTGAAAGATGAAGAGTTCAGTTGCTCTCATTCCAGAAGCCAGTTAGTATAGATGACATACGCCAATTGAGCTGAAGCACTATGAACCCTGGCAAGGGCCTGGGAAAAGTGGAAGACGGTTGGCATGACTGCCACCATGGGGTTGAGTGGGGGCCCCTTCTATACTCAAGGTCTCAAAGACGCATTTCTTGTTAATTGCTTACTCCCACTCTTCCATCCCAGGTCCCCCACAGTTTCAGAAACCCCAGCTGTGTACTTCTGGTGTGCTAGGGTTACTTCTACTGAAAGCCTGCTTTCCTCTGTGGTGTCACCCACAGTATGGAACCAGAGAAACTCTCTGTACGTCATGGATCATCTAACTCTTTCCTTTGGACTTCAAGGACCAAGGAGAATGACTTGTGCATCTCCTCCTGTCACAGAGAGCTTCACTTTGATCCCACCATGCAGGTGGAATGGGGGTTCCCAGGAGACCCAGAGCCTTTTACCTGCTTAGTGGAAGAGAGAGCAGCTCACAGAACTGCATCCCCAAAAGAGGGTTTGGGAATTTAAAGCTGGAAGGCCTCCAGTGGAGATGAGGGGCAATCACAGGCCTAGCAGGAGTCTTCCAAGGCGACCTTCATGAGTTGGGGTTGTGATTCATCCAAGGAAACTCTTGACCCACAGACACCACTGAGAGAGCGGTCTCTTTTCACTCAAGATTCATCACATGTTTTTAAGTAGGGGAAGGAAGAGACCTTCACTTTTTTGTATGTCTACTTAGATGTTCAAATTTTGAACTTACAGGACTGATAACTATTTTTAACTCCCTCTGTGGGATAGCAAAGAGGGAAGGGGTAGGTAGGTAAACCTGATTTTTATCACCTATCTTTAGAAGACACACTAGGGGTAGCATTAAAACATTCCATCGAGTTCATTCAGTATTTCCAACTAATAAATAGCGCTTAATGCAGCTGAAGGAAGAGGGTCATCTGCCAAGATTATTGGCATTCCCAGGCCGTGATTCTGGTGACAACAGAATCAAAATGGACGCCTGCCATTTAACTGCGCTGACATGCTTCCCCCCAGGGTGACACGCCAGCATTACTTTCCCCTTAACCAGCAAAAGAGCCTGTCGTAACTGAGGCCTCTCTGGAGGTTTCTTTAACGAGCTTCGGCAAACCCTTTACAAGCAGCAGTGACTCTCATGCGGATCTCCTCGCACATGTTTGGCAAAAAATACCTGTCATCATTTTGCGGCTCAAGCATTCGGCTCTCCTTTAATTTGGGTGTGGTCACCGAGGCCGAGGACACAGAGTAGGTTTGAATTTTGCTGCTGGGACCGATGACTCCTATGTCCTCCCTAGGCCCAGCCTTGCCAATGGTGAGCCGCTTCCATTTCTGCTGATCTATCTCTGTCACTGGTCCAAAGTGCACAAACTTTTGCCTGGGGCCGGAAGCTTTCTTATAGGCCCGCGCTTTGCGGCTGGCGAAGTCGTCCCGGATGGCAGTTTCTGCTTTAATTTCTGGCGAGGGCTCAGGGGCACAGGCATGCTCAACATCTCCATCCCTAGTTATAACCAGAAATGAGTTCCAAAGGTTTCTAAGGCAAATACAAGTCAATAAGAGGTTTTTCTTCTCTTTCCTTTCTTTTAGGTGCTAGGTATATGAAAAATACTTCTATGGCTAGGGCAGAGTTGCTTTTCCATCCATCAATCAAAGCGGTAAATAGGACTTTAAGTGTCTATTGCTTTAACAAATATCACTTCCAACATCATAAGTGATGGCATAAAAAATCTTAGGTATGATGAAATATTAAAATTATTTAAAAATCAAGTCTAAATTCCTTATAGCAAACAAGCCTATCAAAATAACCATTCACAATTAATTGGTTGGATTAAAGAGGAAGTTTTCCATCCCCGTGGCTGGTAACTTTTGCATTAATAACTCTCAACTCATGCAGAATATACTCTGTGTTTTGAGAGGCATTAACTATTTCCAGCCATGAAAACAAAAAATGATCGAAGGCTAAGCACTGGATTCCTTTAAAGTTCAATAACACCACTGCCGGGGAAAACATAACACACCTCGTCTGCCCTGACACTTTCAGTCTCTCCCAGGTCTCCAGGTCGGCTTCCGTGATGTTGGAGCCGCCGACAAAGCTCGGAGCCTCGCGGGGAGGGGCGAGGCTGCCCTGAATCCTCCGCTGTGCCAGGTCGTCCTTGTGGATATCCGGCACCTTCCTGAGTCCCTCCTCCGCAGGTCCGCTCTCCCGAGCCCGCAGGACACAGGTCACTACTGACTTCACTTCTTCTGTCTGGCCCCGGTTTCTGTCAGTGGGATCCAGACCCCGACATCATCGGAAAAATAAAGTTCAAGGGAGGGGAGCAGACAAACAGGTGGTCAAGCACGGACATTCGGAGGTTGAACGAAACGATGGAAGTACCTTTCCCTTTCTCAAAAACAGCGCGTCCGTGCGCGAGCCTTGATTCCTTTCCCCTGCATTACCTTTTGACACGGTAACGAGAAGGCAGTTTTTCCACCAGATGACAGTCTCTGGTTTAGCTTAGGAAAAGAAGCCAGGGTTCACGGAAAGACTCTTAAGAATGGTAATGAGATTTTGGTTTGTCAGTAATGATGCCCAGTTCCCACACTATTCCAGTTACTATAATGAATTCAAGTTTTCTAATTGAATCCCCGAGCCCTCCTGGAATGTCTTTTACTGCACCAGTAAAATGTTAGTAATGAGCTCCGCCTGCTCCAAATTCTAGGATTAGTTTGGAGATAGCTGGAATGTTGTTCACATACGAAAACATCTCAACCGTAAACCCACAACTGCCAGAAAGCACGTTTGAGTTGATTCTGACCAGAAAGTTTCCATGTTCAAACTCAGTCCCTGCTTCCTGAGAGCATGCATTAGGTTTGGCTAATGTGAACTTGAACAAATAGAGTGTATCCTCTTTTCCTTGATCTAGACTCAATATCCATTTCTTCCTTGTGTTAATAACTGCTTAGGTTCATTGATGCTAAAACTGATATTTTTCAGTTGTTCTCCTAAGAAGTGAACATTTGATGTCTAATGTTGACTATGTTGTAATTTAAACTAACGCTGTGGTCTTGATCTGCATAAACATTAAAAGTCGATTTCCAACCAAACACGCTTATTGACACAGAAAATCCAAAAGTTATACATAACAAGGGCTATTTATTTTCTCAAAATATATCACCCAAGCCAGAAAACCAAAAGGTATTCTTTTGTTACTAGGATGCCTTCGTGTATTTGTAGAGCATATGCAAATAGGAAGGCTACAGAATTTTCTATTTACTTCTAGTTTGGGGAAGGAGATCAAGGAAGGGCATAGCAAAGGCCCACCAAGGAGCATTCTTTTTTCCATCAGTTCTCTGATGCCCATCAGAGAGGTCATGGGCTATCCAGACCCAGAACTGTGTCCCTACTCATAGAGTCAGGTGACAACAGACAAATGAAGCTGGAAACAGCAGGAATTAAAATTGCATGCAGGAGAAAGGAAAAAAAGGGGAGATACTAAAGCTACTCCTTTTCCTAACTCAAGTTGCTGATCCCCATCAATATGCCCTGATGCTAGTCAGTTATCCAGAAGTCTTTGTTTCACTGGCAACAACCGATCCCTCCCACAAGGCCCTTCTAGGATGGTCTGTTACAAGGCATGCCAACAAGAACCGCTAACACTGAGCCTCCTGAAGCTATAATGTGTCCTACAAAAAAATCGTGCCAGGTCTTCCGAACTCTAATACCTGTTCTACATCTGGGGATCTTTTAGGTGTTTTGTGTCTGGTACTTCCTAAAACAAAAACAAACCCAAAAAGCACTAACTACTCAATGACTCTGCCCAAAGAAGCATTTTCATTGTGTAATAATACATAGTCGATATATTTACAATCTTAGTTCAACAGATTTGCAAACCTCTTAAGTGATACGCAAAAAGATGGCAGTGAAATATTAAAGATGCAAGCTCTAACAGATTTTGATATAAGCAAAAACCACAGACCAACTCTACTCTATGAGATTTAGCAACCTGACACGTTAAATGAAACCATATCCCTCTATGGATAAAAATCACTGGCCAAATCCAACTTCACTACATGTTTCCTTTCCCAAATTAAGAGGATGGGAGAAAAGTTGGGAGGACACTCATTTAAAAACAATGTCTATGAACAATAGAGGTGCATTATATGTTTTTGAATTTAAAAAAATGAGAAGTAGCTATCATCCCACGTATAGGTGACCTTGCTAGTTCGAGGGAAGAAAGGGCAAGCCTCATTTATTTTCCCTGCCAATATCTAAAAGGAGAACACAGGAGAGAAGAGCTTATAGCTAAGGAATATCTGTCTTGTGCCTGCTGAGAACGAACTGGACAGCCTCGAGAGGTGGCTGGTCCCTGGTGGCAATGGCACATATATATTTGTGCCAATAATTCCAGTCTGTGACACCAGTGCCCCTATGTAGTGATGGGTCCAGATCCAGCACAACGAAGTTTATTTGGTGAATCCAACCCTATTTGGGACATGGTCTGTTCACTCACTGCCATTACATTCAGGGAGATCGGATATCTGGAGTTCTGCTTCAAAGTAAACCACCACACCAACGACACATACCCAGGGCAGGAAAGAGAGGAGCGAGTGGGGAGGGCTATGATACAAATCACTGTTACTCAGTTACATTCTCTCTGTCTTACACACCACACACACGGTGCACACCTTTTGTGTTCTAGACTTTTCTTTTCTGAGATTCCCTTTGAAAGTTGTCTGCTGCTCTCTGGTTTCTCTGCCTCTTTTTTCCGGTAAGGCCCATAGAGGAGTTGATTCAGGGGCACTGTCGGCTTGGTCTGGTTCATCCTGGCTCTCCTCGCAGCAAAGTCATCTTTCTCCAGGTCAGGCAGTCGGCGTGCAACTTCCTCTTCCGACTCTGAATTTTTGCCACGTTGGTGGGCTAGGAAAGGGTTTTCTTTCCAAAGGATAATGTCGTGAACAGCTTCTTTCTCATCACTTAATTGCTTTTGACTGATAGAGCAAAATTAAATGGAACTCCACATGTGGTCAGACCAAAAAAAAAATTTGTTTAAATCCCCATTTCCAGGCAGGCAACTGTGTTGTTAGTGAAAGGTCTTCTCAGTATCATTAGTTCAGATGACATCTGCTTACTGTTTTAGTCCAGAGTTGCATTATAGTTAGTGTGGGTTTTAAAACCTTGAATTCAGCCAGCTACTAGCAACACTAAAAATTCATTTAATTTACTGGGTCCATCAGCATCAGAAAAGCAGGGTCCTAAATGGCTCTGAAAGTGGCAATTCCAATTCTTTTCATGAAATTTGGAAGAGTAGGAGGCTTTTCACTGCTCGATTTTCTCTAGCACCTTAGTAATGGACCCAGTAGGGACTCAATTTGCTTTTGACTGACAGGGCAGAAATGTGAGCCACCAAGACAGGGACCTGGGCAAAAGCTAAGGAAGGCAGCTACATGATAGCACATCTAGGGCATGTACCAGATTGCAAAGTGTACGGGAGGTCTTTCTGCAGAGCGGAGCGGAGCTCATTGAAACATCTGGAGGTGCTTATGTCCATTCACAGGATGGACCAAAGGCAGAAGAGGCTGCCCTGCCCTGCACCCATCCCCCCATCCGAGACCCTTTTTTCCAGATTCTACCCCCACGACTCTCCACCACCAGCTCTTTGTCAAATGCTAGATGCCAAGTCAGACATTTTGACAGAATGGCTTAACCATTATTTCTTTGGGCTATTTCCATTTTCAAAACATCTTGACAGCCCCAAACTTTAAATTTCTAGAGGAATGTAATTTACTGATAGAATATCAGGACTTTTTCACTTTTTTTTGTTTTTGTTGGAGACAGGTGGGGTGGGAATACAGTTGATTGTTGCCTATCTGATATTCATACGAACTCCTCTCACCCTTACTCATCAGATCGCCTTGTTTCCAAGTATTAATACTTTTTAAAACAGTAAAAAATCATTTATTATCATCTCAGTTCATAAAGATGATAAGTAAATAAAGTATTTTAATCTCTAAGGAAAGTTCACCTACTTTGCATCCGGTTTCTGAGAGAGGATTAAGAAGAAGTTCTTTATCCTCAAAGGGCCACTCATCTCAGAAATGAAGACAGGAGGAATTAGCCTGGCCAAGAGGAAAGTGAGGAGCAAGGTGCCGTGTTCTCCGGTCAGCCAGGCGGCCCACCGCCGGCTGCTCCGCCCCGCACTGCTCCAGGGGAGGTCACCATCTCTGGGCCACAGCAGGCCCTCACTCCATCTGACTTTTGGAAAATCAAGTCATCATTAGTCATGCCTGGAAAACTCCTTCTCACTGCTATCGTTCTCAGTAACATTTTGAAACATGTTACTGGGAGGCGGTTGGCGGTGCTTTCCTCCCTAAATACATGTGTGTCGTCAAATACGAAACCGTGCCCTCTGTGCTGCACCCTGACTCCCGGCGTCCTGCCGGCCCACCCCTGCACCGCACTCACACGCCTTCCCGCCTCCTTTGCGACGTGTTTGTCAAGTACCAACAGGTGTTGGCTGATGTGGAAAGCAGTATGGAGATGCCTCAAAAAATTAAAACGGATCTGCCTTTTGACCCAGTGATCCCACTTCTGGGAATATATTGGAAGGAACCCAAAACACTAATTAGAAAGAATATAAGTGCCTCTATGTTCATTGCAGCATTATTTACAGTAAGTAAGACATGGAAGCAACCCAAGTGTCCATCAATAGATGAGTAGATATAACAGCGACGGGACATTTACACAATGGAATAGGACTCGGCTGTAAAAAAGAAGAAAATTTTACCCTTTGTGACAGCATGGATGGACCTGGAGATCATCATGCTAAGTGAAATGAGCCAGTCAGAGAAAGACAAATACCATGTGATTTCACTCACATGTGGGCTCTAGTGAACAAACTGAACTAATAAGGAAAATGGGGACAGACTCAGGGGTGGAAAGCAGGATGACAGCTAAGGGGGTGGAAGTATCAAACAAAAAGGAAAAAGGACTCATGAACATGGACAACAGTGATTGCAGGGGGGTAGGGAGGGTATAAGGAGACTAAATGGTAATGGAAAAAATACAATAACTTTTTTAAAAAAGCACATTGATGAGGACAAAGAAGGTGACTAATAGTTACTGAGGGCACACTATGTGCTAAAATTTTTTCTAAGTGTTAACTCATTAAACCCTAAAACTAACCCTGCAATGTTAGTGTTACTAGCATCTCCATTTTACGGAGTGACAACTCAGATTAGGTGAGGAAATCTGCCCAAGGTCAAAGTGTCAGCTGAAATTAAAATTCAAACCCAAGCAGGCTCCAGAGGTCCAGTTCTTCACCACTGCGCTATTCATTAAACAGGGGACCGGGGCAGAAACGGGACTGAAAGCAGAGCATCATACAAAAATTAAGGCATGATCATTACTATGGGAAAAGAAGAAAGAGAAATATTTTGGTTACTAAATGAAAGGATCCTGTGAATTGTGCTTAGAATGGAGTTGTGATTTGCATCGCTGCTTACAGAGAGCAATGTTCAGCCAGGATTAATGAAAGCAGAAAGCTAACTAATCATATCGCACAATGCTTGCACAGCGCTTCGCAGTGCACGAAGTGCTGCCACATTCATTTGCTGATCTCTGCTGATCCAGCTCCGGTCCCAGTGTGGGAGCAGACCCCTAGCTCGAACCTCTTAAGTCCAAGAGTAGCATTCTTTCCATTTTCAGTCTGGGTCCTGGGTTTCAATCTCCCCCAACTCAGGCAGAATTCTTTGGAGTAAAATATATACATTTATGCAAATAGCCATGACAATTTGTGATGCCAATTTAAGCAGAGAGAATCTGGCACCTTTTGCATCATGTGAGCCCAGTCAGACCACAAATTCCCCTGGGTGATTCTTTTTAGGCTAAGTGCCCAGCCCAGCAAGACTCCCTGCAAGTGATCTCAGTTTAGATTTGTAGTTTTCCATATCATTGGCCACTTAAAGCCTCTCCCTCTGCACTGTCACAAAGACTGGTTTTCTGCTAATTGTTTGAATCCTGTAAATTCAGAGCTTCAAGGCAGGCTCAGGGAAAGAAAAAAATAATAATGACGCAAGTTCTGGCCTGGCACTGTTGGCCACGAAGCAATAAATCATATGTACCAGGTAGATGTGGACGATTGTGTTCACAGGTGTCTAGTTACCAAAATATTTAAGTGACTTTTTATAAGGTGCTTTTCTTTCTCCCTTGAAGGACCTTAAGGGCAGTCTTTGGTAAGGCTTCAGTACAATCTACTTTATTTCTCAATCATTACAATTCTCTGAACAGCGAGAACCCGCCAGGCTCTAAGTAAGTTCAGGTCCACTGACTTTCACGATAACAGAATGCAAGATGAGAAATCTGGTGCCCACTTGGCAGAGGAGAACGTTGAGATTTCTGGCTCCAGGTATCTGAACTTTGGTACACTGAGTAAATTTAAGGGGGAGACCCAGGCTGTCTGGCTTGGTATTCACGGGCAGTTTGGGGACTTCTATTTTTTTCTAAGTCATTCATAAAAGAGTTGCTTTGGGAAGAAGGGGTGGCCCTGTGGGCACAGCCCACTGTTTCCTTTAGAGAGAACACAGTCACCGTGAAATAAGAAATGCCAGGCCCTGCCTCAAACCTAGCAACCTTGTCCAGCGTCATCTGAAACAAGGAAGGCTATCTTGGCAGCAGGGATTATGGGCTCGAAGCAGGTGAGGGGGAAGAAAAAGCTCTTGTCTCAACGTTTCTGAGGCTTATATATTTCAAAGTGAGCGAGATAATGCTTTAAACTAAGGAAGAGCTGGCATTTTCTTTCACTCCCTTTGATTTGGCAACACACAAGCAACCAGCTCAGACTGGCAGTCAGTTCATTCTATTCAAAGAAACCGGGCTCTCCAGAAAAGCCTGTTAGGCCTCCTGGGAATGTCATGGGCAACACCGAAAACATCCCGGCTTCACCCGGAGTCCAAACAGGGCAGCTCCAGCCAGAGTCACAAAAGTTCAGGCACGTTGTGTGCCTGCCTGGTCCCTGATCCCCAGGGGTCTGTTCAGCAAGTCAGGGACACGGGCATCTGGTGAGGAGGGATGGAGAGGAACATGTGTCTGGCGCTTAGCTGCGTCTGCTCTTCCTCTAGAAACTTCTAAAATGTCTATTGTTCCTCGGAGGGCTTTTTTTTCCCCTCTGTAATTAATTACTATGTGGTTGAGAAGATCCACAGACTAGCAGAAAATACCGAGTGCTGAAACATATGAAAACAATTAGAAGAGGAGTACAATCACGTGAAACCTATAATTCAGTTCAGAAAACGTTTACTTCTCCAATGGGAAACACCAAGTCAGAGAACTCAAATCTCCATAATGTTTTAATTCTGGGGAAGTGAATCTCGGTTCTTGTTTTATCCTCTCAAAAAACAGAAATCTTGGCTTCTTTAGCGGACTCTATATTTGGGGGTAATTAAGCTAACTTGATCATAAACTAACAGAGAAGAAAAAGTGGCTTATGTGCTCTTTACTTCAATGGCAACTCTAATAAAGATTAAACTCCACACATTTATGAAGCAGTCCTGCTTTCTGTCTCTGGATGCTAAGAGACAGAAATGCCTCCTAATATACTTGGGACTCTTAGGCTTCTAAACTCATGTGAGAATGGAATACCATGCACCTTTCCACCTTTTAATATATGGAGTTAAAAATAATACAAGGAGGGGTTTGAGAATACTTGGGGAAGAGTGGTGTCAACAGGAGAAACAGTCTAAAAAGCAGAGTCATGGCTCCACAGTCTCACCCATCTCTACCAACACACACCTTCCCAGCTAAGAAACGGGAGAAAGAAATATCTTGGGCCTCTGATGGAGTTCAATCAACTCTGTCATGGCCAGAATTCATCTGGGTGGCCAAGACAGGAGACAAAGTTGAAATGTTTTAAGAGATGTCAGCATATTTAAATATTTTATATTCGTATTTTCGAGACACCAAGAATCCTTTTTTTTTTCATTGCATGCATTTCATTCAAGTTACTTTCTGCCACCTTAAAAGCAGGATCCCAAACGTGGATGAACGTAGAGCGACTCTCCGCTCTGCTGTGGGTTACAAAAAGTGGGTGACAAAGACACAGAGGTCCGACGAGGGGCGCAGAACGTATAAAACCTTGCCGAGAGCACTGGCGGCTGAAAATCGGTCTAAGAAAGGAATCCTGGGCATTTGGCACAGCTGTGTCCCACTACTAGCAGGGACATTTTCCAGGAATATGCATAATTTTCCTGAACCCAATTTTAAATGTTAAGGCAAAAGATCTAGGGTGTGCTGACATTTACTGACGTGCAAATTTCTGCCTAACAGAGGTAAGTTGGGCAAAAATATGTAAAAATTAAGCCAGATAACAGGAAATGTGGACAGGAGTAAAAATGACCACATAGTATAATATTCATCAATCAGAATTACACTTGTAAATTAACTGTGATGCTAGGAGTGCCCACAGAGGCATGTTGTTACAAAGTATTTCAGTGGTTTATTAGAAAATAAAGCTCCCAGTTACTGAAGTGGAAATTCCAGCCTTTGCCCAAACTCTTCTTTCCTGCTGCCACCATGCTTTCTGGGTGTGCTGAGTTAGCTTAATGTCGCTCCCCACTTGTCTTTCCTTACTCTTTTGAATACTCTAAAGATGATATGGAGGTTTCTCAAAAAACCTAAAAGAGAACTACCATATGACCCAGCAATCCCAATTCTGGGTATTGATCCAGAAGAACTGAAATCAGGATCCTGGAGAGATGTCAGCCTTGTTCAGTGCAGCGCTGTTCACGACAGCCACGCTATGGACACAACCCAGAGGTCCGCTGACGACCGGTGAACGAAGAAAGAAAGTAAGGGCCTTCAAAAAGAATTCAGCCTTTAAAAAGAAGGAAATTCTGCCATATGAGACACCATGGACAAACCTTGAAGACATTACGCTAAATTAAACAAGCTAGTCACAGAAGAAAAAATACTATACAATTCTATTTGTAAGAAAGGCCTAAGCGTCAAACACCTAGAATCAGAGGGTGGAACAGGGGTTGCCAGGGGCTGGGGAGGGGAAAGTGGGTCGTTGCTAATCAACGAGCATAGATTTAGTTCAGAAGGAAGAATAAGCTCTGGAGACCTGATGTGCAGCACTGTATCTACAGTTAACGATACTAAATGGTGCGGTTAAAATTTTGTTCAGAGGGGAATTCTCATGCCGAGTGTTCTTATCATAATAAAATAATTTTGTTACAAAAGGAATAAAAGTGGCAAAGAATGTGAGACAATTTATGGAAGAATGAACCTGAGTGGCCAGTACACATAATATGATAGTCAACCACATTAGTAATCAGGGAACAACCAATTTTCAAAGAGGAGCTTTTTTTTGAACAAGAGAGTGGCAATTAAAAAACAAAAACAAAAAAAATGGTCTCTGGTAAATTTTAGCTTAAAGACTTCATTGAAGTTATTAAATGAAGGTTTGTGTCAAAGATATTAGGATTAATTTTTTTTAAATCATACTCTCACTTGTATCACTCATTACACACTGTCACTGGGCCCTAGATCTGAAGACAGAAACAGGAACAGTCTGAAAAATGGTGCAAGACAAGAAGGTATTATTCACTTCTGTACTCTCAGCATCTCGCCTGCTCTTCCACACAAGTAGATGCTCAAATTATGTTGGAAAAATGGGTATCTGACAGGGTCTCTGAGCCAAAATTTGCTTTTGTGTTTAAGATTTTATCACATTGCTTTTCCTTATTTCAGAAGCCCAGAGAGTTGCTCTTAACACAAGCAGATTTTGTGTTAGAGTTTCCTAGGAGCACACGCATGTTTCGGATAGACACACTTAGCTGTGGAATACAACAGACAGGGAAGAAATACGTCCTTTTTTTTATCAATACCAAGTTATTCTAGAATGAAATCCACAGAAGTCAATGCTGGAACTTTCAATGAAGACTTAGATTACAGCAATAACCACATATGGAATTAGACAGAGAAATGGGAAACGTTCCATTAAACGTGTGGGAGACCGATGGGGTACTGTGATCACAGTCTCTGAATCCGGCACCAGGTACGCGGTGATGACAGGCTCTGAGACTGGGAAGTCACTTACTATCACTGATCCTCAGTTTGCCCTGCTTGAAAATGGGTGTGTCGCCCATTTCTTAGGATCAAATGGGGTGCTGAGTGGCAAAAGAATTTCAATGGTCACACTGTTATGAATTTCAGTTTGTCAAATTTTGGTCTCACTATTATTTGTTAGGATCTTTGTGGTTATTATATGAGAAAAATGAACCAGCTTCTCAAAACACCACATAAAACTGGAGAACCGTAGTTTCCTGTGCCTTTGACTGCTGAAAGTCTCCGTCCCACATGTAACATGAAGCCATCGGGACTGTATACTAGTGCCTTTGTTACAATTAAGAGAAGTAATTACTCCATTCTTTGTTTTTGAATCAACATGCTTTAGAAGAGGAGTCAAATAAACCCAGTCTTTCTTACTACTCCCTTGGGACAAAGGACGTAAGTGGATTTTTGTAAGCCAGCCACTCTTTCTACAGAGAGTGCTCCCTATTTCAAAGGAACTATTTTCTAGTGATGTGTAAAGTAAGATAAGAGCCATTTAGGAGTAGTGTGAAAATCAACAGGCCATAAACCATTGAAAAATAAAGTGTTATTGCGCGGTAAATCCTGCAGCCTGCAAATGACTGGCCACAATTCTTGACTAAGACAAGGTCTAATCAGGCAGCAAGAAGCTTGCTCTTCACCTTCATTTCACATAACCAACTACTTAAGCAGAGACATTCCTGAGAGCAGAGACTATTCGGGATTTCCAGTTGCTCCAAGGAGGGAACAGCAGTGCCACAAAAAGCAGGAAGGAGGGCAACGAGATGGAAACTCCAACACGCCAGGCAGATTCCACCCCACCAGGCATGCACCAAGCCGGCCAGGCCAGCCCTTGGCCTGCAGAGCTAACCTGGCAAAGCGCTGTGCTGCGGGCATGACCTTGATCCCAGCTTGCTCTAGCCTTCTGCGCTTTTGGATTTCAGCAGCATCTTTTTCTTCAGACTTGGGAGCTGGTGCTACCGCAGCCCCCTCTGGAGGAGGCTTCTCCTCACCACTGCCAGCGGGTAATTCTAACCCACCTCCAGCAGAAGGCTTCCCGTCAGGATCCGTTTGGCCAGCCGGTTCCTCCTCTTCACAAGGAGACCCCGCTTCACTTCCCTCTTCCTCTATTGTTTCGGGATAGCTAGTGAGTTGGACAATACGGTTTACCAAACTAACAGACCGACCTGGGGAACAGACCCCACGTCCTCTTCTGGTCATGCTGGTACTATTTTCCACTTAAAAAAAAAGTCATGGCATGCAATATGATCCTGACAGTGTGACAAAAGTTAAATGTAGCCATTTGTTAATTAATACAATGCATCATAATCTCCACATTGATTAAGAGTTATTTCAAAATTGCTATTGAAAGGCAAAAACCCTTTCAGCTGGAATGGTAAACTTTATGTTTTGTTCAGTAATTAAAACTTTTAATAAAATGCTTGTTCAATGGAAAATCATAGATAATAAAGGTAGACTATTAGAAAAAACCATGCAAGAATCAGGGTGGTTTTGCTGAAAGTATTAGACTGGACTGTAAGTTTCTTGTATTGGACTATAAGATTCTTGAAGGCAGGGACTCTATTTTATTTACTATTGGGTCCCCAATTCCTAAAAGACAGCACCTAGTATATAGTAGATGCTCAATAAATACTCGCTGAATAAGTGAAAGAAGAAACACATAATCAGAGATTAGGAAAAAGGAAAAACACTGTTTCTGTAAAGAGAGTAGCAGCCCAATGTATCTTCCTTTGAGTAGGAGTTTCTACCTGAGATTCTGAAGCACGTTCCACGCATCCCTCACATACTTGACCGTGTACCTAAATTAGCATGCATCTCAATAGAAAATGTCTTTTTGGATAAAGGCAAGTCTTTCTGCACCTAATCTAATAGGAGTATGAGTCGGGTGGTCTCCACAGAAGGACATGGATAACAAATCTGTTCTCAACGTTCTATCAACAGGGCCAGTTTTTTTTTTTTTAATCTGCTTGTTAGACAAGTGTTTGTTGAATACCTCCTGTGTGCTAGGCACTGTTCTAGGTGCCTTCATGAAGCTTCCAGTCTTACCATCACAATCTCTCTCCAAAGATCTGTCCCGCCCACTGCATTTGCGATCTCACACCCGAGTTCTGGAACAGTGGCTTGAGCCAATGCATGCCAGGAGCTGCAGGTCCCGCACCACTCGTGTTCGCGCCAGGCCGGGGGCAGCACTGGGTCGGGCCTTACCTGAAGGGCCTCTCCCCACCCAGGGGTGAGGTGGCGGTGCTCCAGCTCTTCCGGTATTCCTCTCGCTCCGCTTTCTTCTTTCTCAGAGGCGCAGGGACGTAGGCCGTCTGATTGCTCTTGTTCGGGAGGTACTGGTTAAAAGGCACTGCTGATTTCGGCTCACCATGAGAAGTCCGCCTGGCAGACATGTCATCCTTCTTCACATCAGGCAGCTTCCGATGTGGCAAGTCAGACTCAGAGTCACTTCCTCTCCCTGGGGAAGAGAGGCCAGGTGCTGAGCAGGGGCCCGGGCCAGCAGAAAAGGTCCCGAAGGCGCAGTATTAGGGATGTGGTTAAATCTGTGGGCTCTGGGGATTCCTTCCTTCCATTACTCACTTAACAAATCTAAAGTATCAGTCTAAATTAGCCTACTCTAGGAAAAGCTCTCAACTTTAATCAGGAAAAAAAAACCCTTCAAATTAAAGAAAATAGAGGTAAAGAAACAAACTCATAGATGCAGAGAACAGACTGACAGCTGTCAGGAGGCAGGGGTTGGGGGCCTAGTAAAAAAGGTGAAGGGATTAACCAAAAAAAAAGCCCCAAAACCTTACAGACACAGATGATGGTATGGTGATGGCCACAGGGAAAAGCGGGTAGGGGGTGGCCGAAGAGGGTAAAGGGGGGATAAATGGTGATGGAAGGAGACTTGACTTTGGGTGGTGAACACCTAATACAATATAGAGATGATGTATCATAGAATTGTACACATGAAACCTATATAATTGTATTAACCAATGTCACCCCAATAAATTGTTGAATAAATAATTATTGAAAATAAAAAAACAGAGGCAAGCCTAGCTGTACCTGAGAATTACAATTAGCAACACACGTGCAAAATAGCACAATACACCAGCCTAGATTCTGCAACTCTCACGAGAAAAAATAAATTAACCAGTGGAATTTTTATTGAGCACCTGTTGTTCCACGTCTTACACTGTGCTAGATGTTCCAACAAATAAAAATTATAAAGCATTTGTCTTTGAGGTACCTTTAACCAACCCGTGAAACACCTGGAGAATATTAGTTACAATGTAGGAAAAACAGGAATTCAGAAATGTGGCCAATTTGGATTATAACCAAGGGTTTGCCTTCCAGGAAATGGTTTGAGTTATGATAAATGCATGTTCCTCTAAATCAGGGCCCTTCCTGTGAACCCTATGGCCTAATAACCTATTCTTTTCTTTTGCACATTTCACCTTGTATCTTGTATCTTGCGAACAGGGCTTTATATTATTCACAGCACTTCCTGCAGTGTCTTTGCACACAGTGGGTGTCCTCAAATTCAATGAATTGGTTTGGCTTCAAGACTGTTTTAGCCAAGGTGAAGGGATTCAATGTTGCCAACATCAGTCTTCTCTTGCAAGTAGCTCCCACAATTAATTATATTGTATCCTTGTATCCTGAGTCTTACATCACTAGATTTCTAACACCCAGAGTGAAGTTGTCATTAAAACACTCCTATTTACGCATAACTGCCATCTTCACACTGGGTGAAAACTCTTAATCAATGAGAGCATTATGAGACTATTCAACTCCAAATGGAAAACTACCTATTTACACTTGCAAAGAGAACCTTAAACTAAGAGTCAAAGAGATGTGGCAGCCTCGCAGAGTGGGGAGTGTGTACAGGGTTAGTCAGATCCACTCAGGGTGTGCTCCGTCCGCCCCTCGGGAGCTACGAGACTCTGCATTTGTTACTGACCAGTTTGAGCCTCCGTTTCCCAACTGGTAAAGTGAAGAGACAGTGTTGTCTGCTTCATAGGGCTATGGGGAGGATCGGACACATGTAAAATTATCGGTGCAGCACTTGGCCCACAGCAAGGGCTTAATAAACGCTGACTACTCGTTACGTCCTAATAGTTCTGGATCTGCCAATAATGAGCTGTGGGCTCCTGGGCTCGTGTCTAATGCACTCGGCTGTCCTTTTCTATAAAATGAGAATGAAATGATTTGCCCTTGAGATGACGTGATTTAATGGCTTTTAAAAGACTATAAAAGTTAGCTGTGGCTGGTGTGGCTTAGTGGGTTGAGCGCTGGCCTGGGAACTGGAAGGTTGCTGGTTTGATTCCCCATCAGGGCACATGCCTGGGTTTCGGGCCAAGTCCCCACCTGGGGGTGTGCAAGAGGCAGCTGATGGATGTTTCTCTCACACATTGATGTTTTTCTCTCCCTCTTTTCCCCTCCCTTCCCTTCTCTCTAAAAAATAAATTTAAAAAATCTTTTAAAAAAGACTGTAAAAGCTAATGCCATTGACCATAAACAAGTTGTGCATTGTTGCAGATAAAATATTCGGTTTATGAATTATTCATGCCACTTGTTTTCAGTCTTCTGAAGCTTTGACTGGTCCATTACTTGTTAGTTTTTAATTTGCAACTTAGCTCCCTTCCCATCCTGTCTTTTATCAAATGCTGTGTATCTCTCTCAGTGTCATAATAAAATGTTTAGAGCCCTGTGAATTGCTTTATAAGGGAATACCTTGCCAAGTTCTTAGATGTGTTTCCCTATTTAATATCATCCACACTTTATACAGGTGGAAATGGAGGCTTGGAGAGGCCAAGAGAACTCCCTTTCCAATGCTGGTTACTACCAGCAGGGACCCTGATGTCTGCTGTTCAGACTCCCAGCCCAGCGTTTCTCCCACTGGGTTCTCCTTCTCTTGGTAAAGCACCCTCTGCTTCAAGCCTCTGACTGGGGGGAGGCACTGCCCTTTGCTGAATAAATGAATGAAAGAAAATCATTCTTCGATCAACTGTGAAGGCTTAGTAATAGATCAGAATTGTCTCAATTTTAAAATCCTATAGTCTATGGACTTCATGTACAATATCTAAAAAGTATATATTATCTATAATATCCTGAGTGGATGTCTCAAAATAGGCTATTTAACACATAAACAGACCACCTTTTTCACTTATTAAAATTTTAAAAAAATTTATCAACATCTGATCCTTCTTTTCCACAGGGCTACATTTCTCTCCCTTGTAGCAAACGGGGGGGGGGGGTCTTTCTTTCTTTTACATATCTTTGCCATACCCACCCCCCATCCTCTGCTCTTTAATCTTCTCCTAGCACTTTAATTTCTCTCATTCCTTATTTCTCTCCCATAACTCATCTTTGCATAAAAGATGAGAGTATTCATTTAACAAAATGCATCATGTTTATAAAATATGTTCTTAATTTTAAAGGTACCCAAGTGGAAGTTTCTGCATTTCCTCCTCAATGAAGCTCCTCACACGCCCCCAGGAGGAGTACTGGTGAAGGGAAGGGAGGGACTTGCACTTGTCTAGCAGGACAGTTGGCTGCATCACCCTGGGGACCCACAGTATCCCCACCAGGAAGCTCTTGTGTCCAACTCATAGAATCATCGCACCTGTGCTGAGTGTGGCTCTTGATTGTCCCTACTGAATGGGTCAGTGGGCCTCAATAATAATAATAATGCAAAAGCTGTCCATATCAACTCAATATGGAGTTGGAGAACTTTATAGTCAGACTTTCCCTAATTGATTATGAGTACTAAGAAATAAATTTGCAACACTTAAAAAAATTTCTTCTAAATTTGAAAGTTTATTAGGACTAGCAATCTTCTTGATTAGCAGCACTTAAAAAATACCATGCACTCTAAGGAAATATAACATCTACTTGGATAAAATTATACTAATTTTTTAGGCACATAAAAATGTGTTGCTTTAAAAACCTCATTAGGTCTTGATTAGTTTACAAGAACATGAGCCTGAAGGTATCGGGCTGATTGGTGAAATCTGTGTGTCGGATGCTCTTTCATGAACGGTGTTTTGTGAAGCTCAATTTCATGTGTCTTTAGATGAAAAAAAGTTTATAAAAAGACTCTAGCTTATCAATCTTAATTGTTGCAAACTAAATTGTGCCTCTGCACAGCTACAATATTAGCAACCACCATCTCAAATCCCTTCAAGATGTGGCTCGTTACAAACTGAACCCCTGGCAGCTGGTGACAGAAAAAATAAAGGAGCTACACTACCAATTATACAGAACCAAGATGAGGAAAAATAACAATTTTTAAAGCAATCATAATAATGTGGAGAAAATAGTCTAGCTAAGATAGGTTTTGTAAAAGTAAACCTGCCTTTTAGTTACGTTAAAGCTCAGTTAGATCGTACACTGGGTGCTGTAACTTCTAAAACTGTGGGTGGTACTTGAGGTCATATGAAATTTTAGAAATGTTTTTCAAGCACCTCACAATGTGCCATGGAATTCTTTAGGAGTCACATACTATGTGGCCCTGAGGCTAATCTATTTGTTGGGACATTTAAGTACTAAACAAAAGCACTAGTTCAGACATTCTAGAATTTAAAAAATCTATTAGGGAAACAAAGAAGTGTGGGTAAATTAAGTTTAAGAGTTTAAGATTTGGACGCACAGTTCTGGAGGCTGTTACGCTACTTACAGTAATTTTGTCACTTGCCAATGTTAGGATGCTTATTTAATCTCTCTAAGGTTCATATTGAAAATGTGGATAAGAAGGAACATCTTACAGCCCCGTGGGGGGACTAAGTGAGATATTATGTGAGTGTATCATGATCTGTGAGGAGGACTAAATGAGATACTAGCAGTCGGGTAATTAACTCAGAACCTAGGCACATTAAATACCCACATGCTTTAGTAATGTCGAATTGTACAGCTGAAAGGCATCTTTTAGCTATAAAAGATCATTTTCATCTTGGAGAGTAGGCTTAAGTATCTAGAAATATTAGCATCAAGAAATACATTTAAAAATACAAACAAAAAATTCCCCACCAGCCTTACTATCTTTCTGCAAGTTCATGCATGCTGAACCAAGCCATGGCCCCTTCTAAAAAGCACAGAGGTGCAAGAGACTAAAGGTAAACAGCTTCTGGATAATACACATCAAATTGATATCAGGTTGCAGAACAATATGTTTTTATGAAGAAAAAAAATAATCATTCCTTACAGGTAACACAAAATCCACAGGATTTAAATCAAAGCCAGCCTCAGAACAGGCAGTCCAGGTGGTGTCCTGTCCACGAACAGCCACCTGCCTGGCTCCCATCAACAGTTGGGCAACATACCTATCAAACACTGCCCAAGTCGTGACACTTAAAGTTTCACAACTCCAGGCTTCAGAACTTTCCTCAGTGTGTGCACTGCATTTCCAGTTTGCTGGAAGTCAATCCATTCTCACTGACACAGCGTGGTACTCGCTCAAACATTTCCCTTCCTCATACCCGGAGGACATAAACCTTCGGCACACTTTATGAGCTAATGGTCTGCACAGCGTCTTGGTTCACCGAGACGCAGGGAGCAATGATGTCACACATTTTCCACCAGAAGATACACTCACTGAGGCAATGTTCAGACGAACTGCCAGCAAAGCCAAGCAAAATTCTAAGGATGGTGAAAAACAACATTAAAAGACTTTTCTTCTACCAGTTTAGAGTTACCAGGTTCCGCCTCGCCAGTGCCAGCCCCTCTGCTGGTGACAAGGCTGCCCTTGTTCGTGTTTAATTCTATGACGTGCAGTTGAGTAAGGCTCCGACCTACCATCGCTGCTTCCCCTGAGGACTACATCTGGCGAAGGTGTCTGCCGGGAACGGGAGCCAAAGGAATCCAGGCTGTCGAAGGAATCATCTCTGCCGTGTCGAGGGGGAGACAGGGAGTCACTGCGCTCAGAATCCCAGCAGTCGATGTAACCACTGTCTCGGATGCTACGCTTAGGGCTCTCAATGTCATCGGTCTCCTGTCCAAAAATAAAATAAAGTTGCAGACATTACAGCAACAGACGTTGAGCCTTCAATCGCAGGAAAATCAGCCTCCCGTGGTCTCCAAGAAATCCTGCAGCTAGCACCAGTATGGGCCGGTTATGGCAACCAGTTATCTACAAGCCAACATTTCATCCTCCAGTCATCTACAAGCCAACACTTCATCCTCCAACCCTTCCCTGCTGCAACTTTCCCAATCCGAAAATCACACATTTTAAGAGAAAAAAAAAATCCCCAGGACCTCCTACTCCATAACGTTTTTAAAAAAGAAAAAAGGAAGGAAGAATCAAAGATCATCTAGTGTGGATTCACAAGAATACTATGGTAGATGAAAACAACCAAAAAAAAAAAAAACCCCAGAAAACTAAAACCTTAACCTTGACCCGCCTTTCGGAATCCATAACGGCATGTCTGTTCTGGGACAGAGCCCCGAGTTTAGCGGCGCAACTGCTCCTGTTTATGCGATCTGGCAAATGCACCCGGCATTTGTTGTTGCAACAGAATCAGATCCGTAAAATCCTGGAGCAGCGGGCTTCCATCTCCTGCTACCTTGAAGGGAAATTCCTGCTCTGAAAGGGAGCTGTCTTTCTGAGGCAAAAAGTTAAAAAAAAGAGCAATGAAAAATATGCAAAAAGCTTTTCCTGATGCCTCAGAAGAATCCAGGCATGCTCTCGCTCTCAGCCAGCTCCTGGCGCTGGGGGAGCTGAAAGCACTTGTGGCTGACCCACATGTTCAGAGCAGTGAGAACAATGGCTGTCTTTGACAGCCTGTGATTATAAATTCTTTTCAGCACAAGCAGCACATACTAAAACACTGAAATTCCAGCAGGAGAAAGGTCAGTCAAAGCCATCCTCACCCTCGTATTATAATAAAAGCCTTGTTCCCACCAGTGTCTTAGCATTAATTACAATAGTCCAGGCTGACGAAAACAAAAATAACTCTGGTCACTCAAAGATAAACCTCCATTTAATGTTCCGCAGACGGTTGCTTAAAATCGGAGCTGTGGATGACATTGTTCTCATCTGCAGAGACGGGAATGTCACACTGTGGATTTCCTGGGATGCTCAGGAAAGTCCCTTCCACATTCCCAATGTAAAGAAAAAAATTCTCCACAGTGGAGATTTTGGAAACTGTCTATCTGCGCTGGCTCATGTGCCCAAGGGAGGCAATGCCTTTGTAGGAAGCACCTTTGCCGGCTGCTCCTATCAATTATATCCAGATCCTGTGACACAGCTCCCAGTGGGAGGCACTTGGAGGGGACGGAGTGGCTGGGATTCACAGGGCACATGCAGGTTTGCATCCAGCGAAGGGAAGGGGAAAGAGCAGGAGGATGGGGTTGAGAGGAGAGCCCTGCAGTCTCCACACTGAGGACCTGACTCGTGCCCCTGAAGAGCAGGTTTTCAAATGGCCTGGGTGAGTGCAGCCCACACAACCCTCCAGAGGAAGGCAGAAATTCCAATGATGGAAATTAAGGTGGTTTACTTGTAGGTCAACAGTTAACCAGGATTTGAACAAAAGCCGAGCCTGGAAAAAGAACTCATGAATTTCTCAGGACAGATCTAAATTGGATATGGTTTCATATTTAATTGCTCCAGAAAGGCAAATAATTATCTTGGATTATTTATCCACAGATTATAAGCCAAATGCTAGAAAATGAATATCATTTTTATTGAACACTCACTACATGTCTGGGGCTATGCTCGATGCTTTTTATACATTTTATTATTTAATTCCCATACCCTCCCACCCCAGTGATGTGGTTTGCACTGTCCCCATTTTACAGAAGAGAAAAGAATCAGAGAGAAGCAGTAACCTGAAGAAGGTCACACAGTAAGCACCAAAGCTGTAACCCCAACACAGGCCCCTGCCTTTACATCCCAAGGTGAAACCTAGCAACATTCCATCAGCTCTGGTGTAGTTAGACAGCTGCCTCCAACAGCATCATCACTGCCGCTGATGGCTAGATATGGCCTCTTTACTCTGAGGATGAGGCTGTGCTAGCCTGGATAACGTCCCTTCACTAAATGCTGTTGATGCCCAGATCACCAAACTATAAATATTGGTAAAGACAGGCAGTCTGGAGCAGTTTAGAGTAGGTCAACAGGGTGTCTTAGAAGTCCTGCTGACTGGGTTTAAATCCAGGCTCCACCCCTTGTCAGCTGCATGACCTTAGCCGAGTGCGGCCTTGCCCACGCTCAGTTTTCTCATCTGTAAAATGGGGCTAATAATATCATTGATTTCACAGGATTGCTGGGGGGGTTAAGTGTTACTACCTGGAAAGCATTCAGAAAAATGCCTGATGTATGGTGAGTACTCAAAATGTGTTAGCTATGGTTATAATTACTACTATGTATTCATCTATGTATGTAAATAGCAATATATAAATCACACAACACTTATAAATGTAGTTAAAAACACAACCGTGTGTGTTTCAATGTGTAGCTATATATACATTGAATTATATACACATTGGAACTCTTTGGTCTTTGTTCTCATTTATATCCCATATCTGGATGCTTCGGCCCAGTTTCCCAACAGGGAGGGTAGACACTCAGGTAGCTGAGCCATTAGTTTCATCTAGAAATGACAAAATTTTACAAACTGCTTGGGGTAGCAGCACAAAGCTGAATCTTGAAGAAAATAATATGAAAAAGGCTCTCCCAAAGGCCCAAGTGTTTCCCCCATCCCTACGCTACAGACCACGGGAGACGAGAAAGGAAGAAAAAATCAACAGGGTTCTTGGAACTTCAGCGCTTTCTCACAGTTAGTTATGGGAAAGAAAAACAGAAAGGCGGTTCTGTTCACGACTGTGTAACAAGCCAAGAATAAAACCTTGGATCAGGTGAGACCTGAAGGCTGAATGGTGTGGCCAGTTTGCAAAGTGAAAACCGGGCCCCCCATGGCATCCCTGACCAAGCTGGTCCCGTGGAACCTCAGGATGAAGCAAGAAGCTGGCTCTTCAGCCAGAAATAAAGAAGTAGACACAGCTAGATGGACAGTCGTACTGGATTCTGTCAAGTCACCCAGAGTTAAGTTTACAGAGAGAGCAGAAGATACAGAGCAACACAAAGGTAGTATAGTTTAAATTCTTCCTTATCAGAGTCCAGTTATGTCATTTATAACTGGACATAACCTAGGCTTCCTAGCCCTCTATAACCTAGAAGCCTGCCAGCATTCTGCCTTCTACAGAGAGCAGTCCAGGGAAGAAAGATAAGGCTCGAGTCTGATTTAAGTCCTACTTGTTTATTTTTTCTTTTGTCTCCCTTGCCCAAGGTGATATATCAGAAAAAAAAAATACTGCTACAAGAAATGTCTGAGATTTTACTGCCTATGTCTTCTTCTAGGATATTTATGGGTTTTGAGTCTAACATTTAATCCACTAATCCATTTTGAGTTTATTCCTGTTTATGGTGTAAGAAGGTGGTCTAGTTTCTTTTTTTTTTTACACATATCTGTCCAACTTTCTCAACACCATTTATTGAATAGACTATTTTTACCCTATTGTATGTTTTTGCCTCTTTTGTCAAATATTAATTGACTGCGGAGGCGTGGGTTTATTTCTGGGCTCTCTATTCTGAAAAATTGATCTCTATGTCTTTCTACTGGTACCATGCTGTTTAATTACAATGACCTTGTAGTCCAGTTTGGTATCAGGTAGCATGATTGCTCCAACTTTATTCTTTCTCAAAAGTTTTTGCACAGCAAAGAAAACCATCAACAAAATGAAAGACAACCCACTCAATGGGAGAAGGTATTTGCCGATATATCTGATAAGGTCTTGATATCCAAAATTTATTAAAAACTTATAAAACTCAACACCAAAAAAAACCCCCAAACAATCCAATTAAGAAATACAAAGAACTTAAATAGACACTTCTCCAAAAAAGACATACAGATGGCCAATAGACATATGAAAAGATGCTCAACATCACTAACCATCAGAGAAAGGCAAATTAAAACCACGATGAGTTATCACCTCACACCTGTCAGAATGGTTATCATCAATAAATCAACAAACAACAAGTGCTGTCAAGGATGTGCGAAGAAGAGAACCCTGATACACTGTCGGTGGGAATGAAGATCGGTGCAGACACTGTGGAGAGCAGTATGGAATTTCCTGAAACACTAAAAATGGAACTGCCTTATGACCCAGCAATTTCACTTCTGGGAATTTACCCCCCCAAACCCCAAAACACTAATTCAAAAGACTATATGCACCCCTGTGTTCACTTCAGTGTTATTTATAATAGGCAAGCTTTGGAAGCAGTCCAAGTGTCCATCAGTGGATGAGTGGATAAAAAAAGCCATGGCACATTTACACAATGGAATACTACTTGGTCGTGAAAAAGAAGGAAATCTTATCTTTTTCAACAGAATGGATGGAATCTGGAGATTATTATGCTAGGTAAAATGAGCCAGTCAGAGAAAGACAAGTACCATGTGATTTTACTTAAATGTGAAATCTAATGAAAAAATAGAAATAGACTCATAAATATAAGAGAACAGGCTGATAGCTGTCAGAGGGGAAGCGGGTTGAGGGCTGGGTGAGAAACGTAAAGGGATTAATCAAAGAAAAAAAACTCAGATACAGACAACAGTATAGTGATTACAAGAGGAAAAGGAGTTTAGTGGGGAGGTAGAAGAAGGTAAAGAGGGGATAATGGTGATGGAAGGAGACCTGACTGCGGTGGGTGAACACACAGTGCAATATAGAGATGGTGTATTATAGAATTGTATACCTGAAACCCATATAATTATACTGACCAATGTCACCCCAATAAATTCAATAAAGAAGGATCCAATATGTCCACTGTGCTAATTGCTAGTTGTTCCAGTAAAAGTGTGTAAATGAATGGGATCAGAACAACCAGCTTCCATGACATTTTTGAATTATTTCACTCACCTGTCCTCTTCTCATTCCCTTTTGTGAGAGATAATGAAAACCAGCGAGTGTTGTTGGATGACTCTTGGTATCTGAGAAACTCCAGATGCCTCTGCTTTACCACCCAACATTTTCTGCTTCCTTTGTGATTTATAAGGTGTCTCAATGCTATTCTGGAAGGTTTCCAGGTTCTACTTTTCCAGCCTGATGACCCATCTCCACCCACCACACTCTGGATGGGGCACCTATATATTCCATGGATATTTACTGAGCATCAGATATGTGCCAGGCACTGTCCTAGTGCTGGGAACACAACATTCTATAAAATTGACAAATACCTCATCCTCATGGATGTTATGTTCTCGTTAGGAAGACAAAATATGAACAGGCAAAAAGATAAGTGAATACAAATTTGGGTGGTAAGTATCATTGAAAAGTAAGGCAGGTTAAAGGAAGAGAAGTTGATGGTGGTTGCTATGTTGGGCTGAGGTCTGGCCTCTCTACCACACTCCCTCTCTTTATCTCGTTGGTCTGGTTAACAGTCCTTACTTCTTGAAACAGTATTGGCTTAGGCCAATCGTGGTACCCCTTGCCCCTGGTCCCAGTGGCCAGTTCAGAAAAAGGACCCACATTGGGTCAGAGTACACCCCTAGGAATTTTATAGCTTGGACTAGGAGAAAGAATCCCCTGCCTTCCTGGGCAAGTAGCTAGAAGCAGGAAATCCTGGGGATGCTGCAGGCAATGTGTCCTGATGTGAGGGAATGTTCGCCTATGTGAGGAGAGAGTGAATTCAGAGAGAGATAGGAAGAGGTGAGGCAAAGACAGAGAGAACGACTTAGACTGTTGACTTTCTAATTCCAGTCTCTAAGATCCTGGTTCTCCCTTCCCTCTCTATTCTCATAGTAATTCCCCTTTGTTCGGTTTCGGTGTTCCCTCCATTGGAAGACTTCTGCTGGTACACCCAGGATCACTGAAAGGCCACTGTCACTATGCCTTCAGAGACCTTTTTTGGATATAGCACTAGCAACCTACTATGAGTACCTACTACGTGCCAGGCACTTATGCTAAAGACTCTATATGTTCTACTTGTATTACAGAACTTAACAAGTTGCACCATAGTCAATAATCTTTATGCACATTTCTCCCAATAGAAAAATGAATATAAAAAATCTATGGCTAGTCTCTTTTGTGAAAGAAAATATTTTAATTTCAAATTTACTTCAGCCTGTATATGTGCAGAAGAGATAACTGTGGTCCCTCCACATCTGGTCTCTATTCCTTTCCCAGTGAAAATACCCACAGTTTTTAGCTGACATAAAATCTATTCTTCCCAGGTCTTTTCTTGCAGCTGGCTCTGCATGTGTGACCAAGTTTATCAGGTCGACAGAACGTGAGCAGCGGCATAGGGTATGACTTCCCCAAAGTGTGTTTAAAGGGAGGACGTAGGCCCTTCCCCTCATTCCCCCTTTCTCCTGACTCAGGTGTGGGCACGGGGGCCAAAGCTCACAGTCTTCTTGAACCAGCAGGTGAGGAGCTGTGGGTTGACAGCGAAAAGATGGAAGGAGGCTGGTCCTACAGGATCACCAACCAGCCCAGCTTGACCCTGAATAGCTCACATCCAGATCTCACTTATAATCTGTGACTTGGAAATAAAATTCTGTCTTATGGAAGCCACTGCTAGACTTTTCTGCATTTCCCAGTTGAACCCAATCCTAACTGAGGAAAAGAAATGATATGGATTCCAGATTAACTACTATTTCCAGGTAGTGGGTAGACCTGTGAAGTTCAGGTCAGTGACGCTCTACCTTACACAGAAATATGGGACTACCACAGCTGGCCCATGTCCTGTGACATTATCTATAGTCACTAACAGGGCAACAGCTGTTCCTAATAACAGGCCATTTCAAGGCAGCTGAAATAACCAATTGTCTCAACAGAAAGCAAAGTTAAGTTGAAGAAACCACTAACTGTTCAGATTGTGGAGGAGCTGGACTAGTGGTAAGAAATGCCAATAACAAGAATAAATCAGATTCCAGGAGAATCCCTCAGAGGAACTGTGAGGCAGAGCTTTTAAATATGCGGTTTAAAAGAGATGATCCATATATCATGATGCAAGTCCAAATTTAATATATATAAAAAGTTTAGATTTCACAAATCCAGACTAGGCCTGCACCAGATTCATACTTTCTCGGAAAACAGACTTAGATGAAAAATTAAAGAATAAATAAGAGTCAAGAGACACTTAGAAACAATGTGCTGTGCTTAATGGAGCGGGCACATTTGTCTTATTTTTTAAAAAAGAATTTAAGTTTAAAACTTTGTTTACATGTATTACAACTGATATGAAAGCTTTGTCCATTTATAAAAATGTGAGCCAGACTAGGTCAAGGCAAATGAGAAGAAAAGTGAGGGCTATTAGCTTGAATTCAAGGAAAAAAAGACTAAATTATTAGGAGCAAATTCTTGCTTTCAGTACTAAAAGAAAAATTTTAAAGCAAGGAATGCCCCTCAGTGAGGTCTCATTAGTGCATTTAGTTTGCATGTTCGAGAAAAAAAAAGAAGAGCTAGGCCTTAATTGATTTGGGCCACAATGTGGGCCTTGTCCAAAACCCAGGAATGCTCTCGGTTACAAATGAGCCTTACCTATTCACTGAGGCTGGTTGGGCGGGGCTTCTCTCGAGTAACACTATATCCTAGTACTTTGAATGAGTTAATCTATACTTCTGAACCTTAAAAGAGGACACCCAAGCAGGCACACATAAAACGCGCCACTGTTTCCTGGACAAATCCCTATCATAGGTCTTTCCCATAATCGAATAAACAGAACTTTAAATATTGTAAAAAAGATTTTTTTTTTCAAAATGTCCAGCTCATTCAAATACAATGGCCATGAAAAGCACATCTTAAAAGAGAATGTGTCTAATTGTCAGAGCCTGTCCAGGGCGGATGCCCGGGCAAGAAGCTGGCTGACGTTACCTCACCCACACCAAGGCCCTGACGGGTAAGCAAAATGACCTTTAGGACAAAAGTGCAGAGCAAGTCTTCATTTTTGTATAATGCTGTATTGTTTAATTCAGCCTTTATTCCCCCGAGCAAACAAGCACTGAGCTCTCTGGCACACAGAGCCATATACTGATGGATTGAGTTTGCTCTTTTGGAATTACAGTTGGACGAGCTCAGATCTCCCATTCTCTGCAGGGTATAAAAGTTCAGGTAAGGGTCGAAAGCACGAGGCCAAGATGTCATTGGCAAGGCAAGTGGCCGTTTCCTTACATGTGTGACATGTTTGGCCTGATTGATTCCTCCACACAGAACTGGAATGATCTTAAAAACAGGCCAAGGGGTTGCTTTCCCACCTTGTCTAAACCTCATGGGGTAAGAAAGAAAAGCCAAGTTACCTTTCTCATCTGAGCCAGCAAGCCTTCGAACTCCTTCAAGTTCAGCGTCGTTCCGCTATAGGATGCACAGCTATTCGCTGCCTTTCCCAGCCAGTAAATGGTAACTAATACCTGTGAAACAAAACCATGCACAAGAGTGGGAGAATTTGCCCTCAAGAATTACTTTTAAACTAAGGAATCAATAATGTTCCACTAACAGGGAAGCAGGAAGGTGAGAACGTGCAGTCCTGATTTACGAAAACCATCACCCATGAGGTATCCATTACATGTAAAATCATTTTCATAGGAACCCAATGCTGTCTCAGTCAACACAATCATGATACAGTAGTTAAACCCCAGTTATGACCCCCGTGTTAGGAAGAGTTCATCTATAAGACAGAAAGAAGGAAAAATAAATCCTCAACAATTATTTTTTGTATAATGAAATAGTCAAATATTCAAAATTAGGAGGCAAAATTTTTCAGAAACTCTGGAGTCTTCACCTAGATGAGTAATGAACAGGTTGGCAATTCCCGTTGAAAGAGGTGCTTTCAAAGGCGCACGCTGGCTACTTGTGGGCCCAGAGGCTCCGCTAAGACCAATGGCAACAATCCCAGTGAATTGACAAAGGTTAATTAGTGGTTTCCAGCACAGGATTCACATAACATATCTAACTGAAGTCTGGAGAATACAGTGTGATGAAGAATAGGATGTGAAGATATCTAGTGTTGGGGTACCATCACAGAACTGATGTGTGCTAAGGGAACATGGGGCTATCCTGACACGTGTAATGGGAGAAAGGAAAACACTATTGCGCTCAGTTTTACATGATAGGGCCTCTGATTGGTTTAAAACTGTGTGATGAAAAATGGCATATAGCACTTGCTTTATAGAGGAAGAAAAAGAAGATAAGAATGAGACTGGCAATCAAATATAATAGCACCCTAGACATTTAAAAATGGGGCTCACAGCTAATTTTTTTTTATTTTATACATAGGCAATCATTTCTTCCATCCCTCTATTTAACCTTTAAATTAAAGAGCAGTCATATGCTTGCCTTTTGAAAATAAGATCTAACTCCAGAAAGTTGATTTTGGGAAGCACTAATAAAAACCTTGAAAGATTAATAGGGAAAAAAAAGCACAAAGCCGACATGTCAGCCGACACTGTTCTTATCGTGCTGCTCTTCCCCTGACACAACCGGCCCAACTGCCTGGTGCCGTCATCCCAACGTGCCCCCCACCAGAAAGCAGCTCTCATTGGTGCTGAGAAATCCCTTGGTGTTCAAGATGCTAAATCAACAACAGGGCACAGGCTTTTATTTGTTTATTTCTGGATTGAGAACTTATTTAATTAAAGAGACCCCCCCAATCTACCATTTTTATTTCTATGGTAGTCATTAATTATTCTATCAGACACACACACACTAGCTTTCTAGAACTCTTTCCAGCAAGACATGCAAGAGGCACTGAATGTATGGACTAAATTTTACACCTGAACCATCACAGTCAGAAGGAATAGGCTTGGGTGAAATGAAAGTTAAAAACACTTACATTTTTCAGCTTCCTACTATAATCAATGCTCCTGATTAAGGAAAAAGAAAAGAAAACATGATCAGAACAGCAGTTCCTTCAGTCTGCTCTTCCCTCAAACACTCCTAGGACATGCTTGAAGTTAACTAGTATAATGAAACCAGGAGAGTATAGTATTTTTAAGCCTCATGATTATTATTTTAGGTTCTAACTAAAATGATTTAGACAACGCAAAGTGGGCTTAAAGGTTCATCATGCACCATGAAAAGTTGAGTGCTTCGTAACATCTGGCAAATGAAGAATTTCATTTAAATCTAAGACTGTTTATATTTGTATTCTCAAAGTTGAGCTGTTAAAGTAAAATTTTGCCTTAATTATAAACCACTGTCAAATGAAAATCTGATTGCACAAATATTTTTCATACAAGCCCTATATATCCTCATCTGAGGACATTTTTTTCATTACTTCAGAGAGAGAGGAAGGGAGACAGAGATTGAGAGAGAGGGAGAGACAGAGAGAGAGACAGAGAGGGACACTTCAATGTGAGAGAAACACTGATTGGTTACCTTCTCATACATCCCCCAGACCTGGGACCAAACCTGCAACCTGGGCACCTGCCCTGATGGGGAATTGAACCCATGAAACTTTTTTTAAACAAAGGTCTAAAACCTTAATTAAAAAGTCTTGAAAAGATAGGTACAAGAGGAAGTGCTATCCAAATATTTGTTCTTTTCTGCTATGGACATAAATTTGTGTTCGGAATTAGCTACAAGCAAGAAAACATGCATGTTATGTTGAAATATACACATGTGCATTCTTAAATATACATAAATATTTATTCTCAAACTATAAATAAATAAGTTAGTTGGTGGTACTTTCTAAATATTCATACAGTGAAATACAAAAATTTCTCCAAAATTACTCCAAAGTTCCTTTAACATGTCAACAAATAGATACTAGGAAAAACAGATATTATGTGTGTGTGTGTGTGTGTGTGTGTGTGTGTTCACAGTAACTCCGGGTGGGGAGACAGGAGGGAGAAGGTAAACTACTGGATAAGCCTGTCAAGGTTCCTTCCAGTTTTCAGACTCCAACTGCTTCCTTGCTGCATATCTGACCCAAAGTACATATCAATGACTAAGTGCACAATTTTAAGTCAATTTAAGTTTCAGGAAATAGAAGACAATGTAGTACATATTAAGATAGACCCATTGGTCCAATTTGGATTAGAGTAAGGGAATACCCTCATGTTCCCTCCTTTTAACAGAAAAAATGATATGTCATTAGATACTTGCTAGGATTTAAAAAAAAATTTAACAAAAAGAGATAAAAACAAAAAATCTATAAAAGATTCAAGATTTTTATAAGAAACAAGTTAAGAACAGGGCACACAAAACTTTCTCTGTGTTGACAATAAAAGTTCATTGACTAAAACTATGACCCAGTTCTAAAAAAATCATCTTTGGCACATAGTAGGAGCTCACAAAATATCCATTGAAGACTCTCACACAGCAATCAATTATGTGCAAATACTTCCAAATTTTCCAGAGAAACACTCAAGTGTTTCTCAAATGCAAAGCCTGGGCTCATTTTCATCCGATTGTTTCGATCCCTGGAAGGATACTCGCCGAGTGCCCTCTGACTGTGCTTTTATGCCCCATCGAGGTTGTCTGGCATCCATTACGGGTAGAGCTCACTAAATTACACACGCAGTAATCATTTGCAGGTTTTTCCTTTTTTTTTTCTTTTTGGCCTGCTCAAGTTACTGCTCAAAAAAATGTAAGAAAAATTACTTCCAATGAAAGCTAAACTAATGAGTGTTTTTTAAAAAACAAGTTAAAAAAAGCATCAAAATGTTTTCTGTAAGATCTACCCTGATAACTTATTGCTTATGGTATTAATTGGTGTCAATGGGGTATTCTCCAGCTCTGTTAGCGTTCTGTTCAACTCTCAGAGGAAAAAGCAGAGACATACAGCAGTTCTACTTTGATCTACGAGAGCTGTAAAACGTATGTAAGGTCCGAATGTCTCACGTACAGTGCCAAATTAACCAGCACTGTTTACAGAAATGTTGTAAGCAGAAAGTTCATCTGTGCCCCACTCTCACTAAAACCAGAAGCAATATTCTAAGTACTATAATAAATTTATGGCATAATTTTAATATAAAATTATTTATGTTCTAAATATTCCTACATTGAAATAAAAATTTTTCTCAATAATTATTCCAAGGTCAACATCCTCCCATGCTTGTGGACTGCCCTTCCCACCACATTTGTCCCTGTTCATCACCCTTCTACGACACTGGCTACTTTTCTTTTTAAATATCATGTTGGTTTCTCCTCCCCAGATTTTCTATATGTTCTTCCTCTGCACTCCATGCCTTATAGATCTCTGCGTGGCTGGCTCTTGCTTCCCATTCATGTCTCAGCCCTCAGTTGAAATGCTGCCTCTTTGAGAGGCCACTCTTGACCACCTCTGAACTGGTCACTATTTTCTTTTTGTTCAGTTTTATTGAGACACAATTGACATATAACAATTGTATACATTTAAGGTTTACAGCATAATGATTTGATATATCCATTAGTATGATAGTCACTATCTTTCACATCATCTATGTTTACTTCTCAGCACTTACCACTTCCTACAATTTCTTTGGATTTACTTAATTATTTCTCATTTGTTGACATGGGGTGTGAATTCCACGTGAAGAGGAGGCATTGGCTATCTTGACTGCTCTGGTTCTCTGGGGCCTGGAAAGTGTCTGACATAGAATAGCTGCTCAATAAATGTTTGTTGAATGAATGAATGGAAAATGATAGTGTCATAGGGGAATATGATGGAAAAGTATTGCCTAAAGAGAATATTATTGCTCAAGTGAAGGAAAAATTGAAAAGGCAAGAAAATGAGGAGAAGAAATACAAAAGGCAAGATAGAAAAACAAGATAAAGGAGGGAAGGGGAGCAGAGGGAAGAGGAGGAGGTGAGAAAAAGAAGCAGAAAGAGGAAGATAAAGGACAGAAAAGAATAGGAGGAGGGCAAGGTGGGACGGAAACGAAGTGACAGTGTCTGTGTGCCCCTGGTCTACATGCCACGTTCCCCTTTAGATTGCTTTCTGTGCCTTTGAATTAAAGTCTGTTGTTTCAGAAATGGGTTGAGGATCATCTTCTCAAATCTGCACTCAGCAAATTTTTGCTTGCCTTTGGATGACAGACCTAGAAAGATACCGATGGAAGGCTAGACCCCCAACTTCCTGATACCCAGTTTTTTTTGTAAATAAGCAAGAAAGGTGCTAAGAGTTTTGAATATCTAAAACCAGTCTCAGAGTTCTCCTGGTTTGGTAACATACCGATTTAAAGTAGCTCTAGAAAGTGAATAAATGTGTGAAAGTGAATTTTCTTCCACCTTCCAAGCAATGTATGTATGACTAATGACTATGACGTTGCGTAGTTACTAGTTACTATTGTTTCTGGTCACTTGCCACCAGGTGAAACTACAAACGTGAGATGAGGCAGAACCTGAAACAATTTCCTAAAATAAACAAAATTTATGGAAGCTGGACACAATACTAAATGGAGCATGTGATGACTAAAATGAGGTTTATGGTAGTTTCCATATTCAAATATCATAATTTTTATTGTTATGTTTGCCCTTAACCAACATTTTTCCATGAGAAATATTAAGGAATGGCACATTAACAACAGAGCAGTAATTTTGTACAATCAGTCATGGCTGGCTCTCTCATATCCGGTCACAAATCATAAAATCCAATATAAACTCCTAACTTAATTTCATTCAGTAGTTTCCATTTTTCTTTATCATTTAAAAAAATCAAGCCCTGGCTGGCATAGCTCAGTGGATTGAGCGCGGGCTGAGAACCAAAGTGTCTCAGGTTCGATTTCCAGTCAGGGCACATGCCTGGGTTGCAGGCCATGGCCCCCAGCAACTGCACATTGATGTTTCTCTCTCTCTCTTTCTCTCTCCCTTCCCTCTCTAAAATAAATAAATAAAATCTTTTAAAAAATCAATATTGTCAAATAATATAAAATTAACAGCTCTGATTTTTGGTTTCTTTCCCTTTTCTGTTTTTCTATGATAAAATAATCCAAAATTAATCAAAAGACGTATAGCCAATCCACAGACCCTGTCCATGTAATTAAGCTTATTACCAAGGTGTATTCGTGCCAAATATTATTTGACTAAAGTGAACATGTTTTATATGAAATCTGTAGAGTCCAAAGGACTTCTAAACCATGGGAAAATGATCTCTACTGTCTCACAAAGACTTTTTTCTCATAACTCCAGTCATGATCTATTTCTTCACAAAGAAGCATGTTGCCATTTCTTTTAAAACTCTGACATTCTTCCCTAGGATTCTTTGGCCCCAAGCATGGCTCATTGAGAAGATAGAGTCAACAACAGCCAAATGGCCAATGATCCATCTCCAAAGGGCTTGATCACTGACACACAGGAGAAAACAGTTACAAATGTAAATGAGGAAGAGATTTATCCATAATCTATTGCTCTCTTTGCATAATAAACAGAGTTCAGATCTGTTTACTGAGTTCGCAGTCTTCCAAGAGCCTATTCAAATGTCCAAATGGAGCCAATAAAGGCTTTTTGTCCAACACACACAGATTCTGTGCCTATTTCTCTCTTGCCTCTCCCTCCTTTAAGTTTCACCTAACATTTTTCTCCCCTTCAACATTCGATCTCTAGAGGAGTGATGTTTGCATTTCAAAAGCTTCTGTTTGGTCAGAATGAAAGCTATACACAGAGGGAAGGTCAGTGTGTCTTGGTTTGAAAGCTTGATTTTTTACCTATACATTTTTATTTATTAGCCACGCCCAACTGTCTGTCGCTTAAACCTTAAAAAATCATCACAAATCAAAGCATAAATGGGTTCCCCTTAAACATAAATCGTGCGTCACTTACTTGACTGTTACTCTGTTGGATGTATCTTGTAGGTCACTAGGGTCAAAAAGTTGAGATTCTTTAAGGCCGAGCTCTTTACAACCTCTCAAGAATAAGATGATATTGTCCTGGAAGGGAGAAAAGAAACCCAGCTCTGTATTACTTTATATTATCTTTATGAACCACCGGCCCCTTCTCTTCGATAGTCCAAGTCACCAGAGGGATATCCGTCAGTAAGACAACAGGAGTCAGGTCTACACCATGGTTGTTGAAGAAAAGCAAGACGTACTTTGTTAGGACATGCTGGATGAAAGAGATGCTTCGAACTCCTAAACCGACAGCCACACCAAATTCATTTTTTCCTTTACCGTAACGCACTGTTGTAAAATTGCAAGTAAAATGCCATTGAAAAGCAGACCTTAGCATCTTTTGGGGGAATGATACACCCAACCCAGATATTCCCTATTGTAACTTCTGTCCATGTCTTACTACCTAGAATCTGGTTCAAAATTTATATGAAAAACTGGTTTTACTACTTCAGTATTCATCTTCAATAAGTTTTTTTAATTGATCATCTAAAATACATTCACTATCAGTGGGTTTTCACTGATAATAACTTTTTGTGGATAATAAACTGAAGTGGGAAAAATCTAGACTTAATTGGGAAGGGAAAGGAAAACTTTTGAAAATAATGCAGAAGACCCTTCTCACAGTGCAAACGTCCCCTAGCAGGCATACATGTACTTTGAACTGGCAGAGGAGCAGGCACAATGGACAGTTAGGGAGGGTTCTGGTCTTCCTCTGCTGGAAGTCATTAAACATAAACAAATGGCTCTGGAAGGGACTGCAACTGTGGGCCATTCTGGTGGAACTCCAGGGTGTTAGCAGCAGGTTCTGTAACGGAGTGTAGGCTGGGAGGCCCCAAAGCCCCCAAAAGTGGGCATTTGTAACGGGCTCCAGAACTTGGGGTGTCCGGGTACACAGGATAATAGGCCTGGCTGGGGTAGGGGAGACATGAAACAGGGCCATTGAGAGTTATTTTGCAGGCCAATTTCATACCTGATACGCGAAAATGGTTATTTTGCATATCAATAACAGCAGACTGATCTTCTGGCCTGAATGGAGCCAGGAAGTAAGTATGCAAAACTTTGACCAGTGATGTAACTAGGAGATAGTTACATCACCTGTGTGATAGCTTGGAGATGGATGGCTCCATGCCATGGGGCCATGCCTGTCTGGACTACCTACGGCAGCCAAGAAAGGCTGGAAATATGGGAGTGCTGGCAGGTGTAGCCGACTGTGGGAGGAGTCAGAAATGGGGTTACAGAGGAGGTTCCAGACTGGGATTTAAACAAAGGGTGGGCCAACATGTGGGACAGAGATTACAGGAGACAATGGAAGGACAATACAAGACCATGGGGACAGAAAGGGATGAAAGGAATCTCGTTGGTGGGCCATGAGAAGTTAGCACGTGGTTTTGGATTCAGAACTGGAGATCCTGGCGACATAGCTGATGGTGCTGGGGACTGTGGGAGACCTGCCCAGCTGAGCACGGATGACTGGGAGGAACCAGGAGTCTAACTGAGCCATGGACCTCTATTTCTTTTTCCTGAGATACCACACCTTTGGCTGGCCTGGTTGGGCAAAGGGGGGAAGGCAGGACTGTGTGTGTGTGTTTGTTGGTGTTTTAAAGGACTTCGGGATTTTAACAGTGACATTTGCGATTACTTTGAACCTGTATAACTTTTGAATAAATACTTCCTTTCCTTTTTACCAAACTCTGGCATTGAGAGCCACGGTTCATATCAGCAGCAGGCAAAGACGTACCTAGAACGGAAAGACCCTAGGGGTGGGGGGACTTGTTCTGTGAACAGTTCAGTAGTCACAAGTCTCTGTCCTCTTCCTAAAAGACTTCTGAAGAGCTGGCTGGCCCCATCAGTTAGTGAAAGTTACAGGAGAGGAATGATAAAAGTTGGCTCCAGAAGCCACATCAATGGGAATCCATCTGAATATTCTAAGAAAGATGCTACAAAAATCTGAAACGATGGTGGTGGTTACAGAATCATGTATTCACCCGAGCGCAACTTAATGAAGCAAAGAGCAAAGAGTTCTTCCCAACTATCCAGTGTGTAGGCAGGATTCTAAGATAACCTCCAAGAACCCCACCCCCGGTGTACACACCCTGTATAATCCCTCCCCTTGAGTGCCAGCAGAACTATGACCATGAGGGGATATCCCTCTGTGATCATGTTACTAACCATTGGCTTTCAGTCAATCAAAAGAAAGATGATCAGATTGGGTCTGACCTAACCAAGGAAGTTTTAAACAAGGTAAAGTCAGAGATCCTGGGGACCATAAGTTCTTAAGCTTTAAGGAGATGCATTCTGTCAACAACCTTACGAGCTTGGAAGAGGTTTGGACAAAGCTCAAATAGGACCCCAGCCCCTGCCAATACCATGATTTCAGCCCAGTGAGATCCTGAGCAAAGAACCCACGTCCATACTTCTGACCATACTTCTGACTGCAGAAAGTAAGATAATAAATGGGTGTTGATTTAAACGGATGTGACATTTATAGTAATTTTCTATTCAGCAATAAAAAAAAACCCAGGCTCAAAACAACATGAACAATAGCAATAAACTGCTAACATTTAACATTTATTTAGCCTTTTTATATGCTAAATATTCTTCCAAGAGCTGGACATCTACTAACTCATTTAACCCCTGCACAACCAGTGAGATAGGTACTATTTTCATCCTCATCAGCAGATGAGCAGTCTGAGGCACAGAACAATTAAGCACCTTGTCCAAGGTCACATAGCCAGAAAAGGATGAGGATGCAAACAACGTGGCACAGATGAGGAGCTCAGGCATCAGCTCTGAGGTCAGCAGCAGTGGAAGATGATGCTGCGGAGTCAGGCGCTGCTTGCAGAGGGCCTTGAAGGCCATGGAGGGCAGACTGTGCGAGTCACAAAGGGGCTGTGATCTGAAGACAAATGCCCAGATCTGCAGCAGAAGAAGACGACTGTGGGCAGGCCTATGGGGTGGTAGACCAGGTGGAGGAAGGACTGAAGAGGAGCAAGATAGCAGACAGGGACGCCAATGAGATACTACAATCTCACTGTCCACCCACAGCCCTTCTCGGAATGTGTTCTTTCCTGTGTCCCTGGACTTTTTCAGCAGGCAAGATGTGCCATCATTCACAAGACTTGTGTCACTCACAAGGCCTCTTGTAGACTGACAATGAGCCGGTCATAGCCTGAAGTCATCCACACCCTGGCCGCCTCTCCTTCAATGACTTCACACATTTTAAAATTATCAAATTTCTCCTTGGAGTTTTTCTATGTTCCCTCCCATCTCCAGAGGTTTATAGATGTTCAGGTAAGTTTTTCCAGGGCATGCAACTATATTTCTGGTTGGCCTATGAGCTCTGAGGGCTTCCTGCCCAGCAGAAAACAAAGGCTATGTCCTGGTACTCTCTGGGAATCATCTGGGATCACAATGTCAGGATGAGACCTGTAACTACCACCCAGTGCCATAAGAAGCACATGACGGGGGCACCTCAGATTCTCAAGAAGGACAAGGAGGCACACTTTTGTATGCACACCCAGATGCCCAGAAGCCCAGATGCGTGTCTGAGCTCTGTGCTGTGTTCAGCACACAGACTGCAAACACAAAAGCGCTGTGTTACCAGCCAGGCTGAACAATTTGGGCTGGGAGATTTAAAGAACTGCAGGTCTCCTTCCAGCTCCTTGCTGCAACCTAATGATGCTGGAGGGGAGCCAGACCCCAGTCAGGAGAAAAGCCAGAAGGAAGAACCCTCCAGCCAAGAGCTCACAGGGGCAGCCACCAGAGCGGGCAGGAAGGACTGTGCCTTTAATTATATAAAATGCAACTTGCAAATTCCCATCTGCCTTGCTCTTCACACTAAGATTTTTCCACATTTATAATTCCAAGCAAAACTCACATAGTAGTGTCTTAGCTTCAGAAGCCAAGCAGTGCAACAGCATCGCAATTCCAAGGGAGAAGTGGAAGACGCTGATTTATGACAGGGAGCACTGCAGTCGGCTCTCACTCATGTAGTATTACAACCCTGTTGTGATTTTGTGGGGCTTCAAAAGAAGTCCTTTAAGACTCTTCAAAAAAGTTAAAAGCCATGAAAAAGCAACACTGGAGATTAGAGAGACGCAATGACCAAACGTGACCTATGTTTGGTTGGATTGGATCCGAGATACAAAAAAGGAAAAGTACATAAGGCTATAACAGTCTAAGTTAAATAGCCCATATTTAAATGTAACATGTACATAGTTAAATGTAAATATATTTAAATGTAGCATGTACTTTTCCAGTTACTGTAACATGTTGGATAACATTACTGAATGAATGTTAATTTTCTTAGACATGACGATGATGAGATTGTGGTTATATGAAAGAGTGCCTTTATTTTTAAGCAACTATGTGTGTTATTAGGGATGAGTTATCACAATGTCTAATAACATAATTTCAAATGGTCAGGGGCAAACATGCAATTTTGTGCATACAAAGGACAGAGACAGAGACAGAGAGAAAATGAACGTGTCGGCCTGTCATGAAGAAAGAGATCCAGCAAATACAGCAAAATATCAACAACTGGTGAATCCAGATCGGGGTCTGGCAAACTTCTTCTGTAAAGAGGCAGAGCGTAAATATGGCTTCGTGGCTGGTGGTGGTCTCTGTCCAGATGACTCACCTCGGTTTTGCAGCCAGACAGTACATAACAAATGGGGGTGTCCACACCGCCATGCCCTTAGTCACCCAGGCAGGCCCTGGGCTGGACTGGGCCCAGGGCTGCAGGCCACAGGCCCTGTCACAGGTAAATGATCCTGCCTTCACCTGGCCCATTCTTTTGACTTTTCTGTACATTTGAAAATTTCCAAAGAAAGGTTTTGAAAAAAAGAGTTTTTCAATCTGTGGAAACATATTCAGCTACATAGGGTGATGACTTCATTGGCAAAACCAATTTTATAAAATTCGAGGAAAAAGCTCCCTCCCCTCAGAGACTACTACGGCCAAGTCCCTGAGGGGAAATGCCGAAGGACAGCCGAGGGAAAGTTACCATTTCTGGCTAACGGGGAAGGACTGTCACACGA